TAGCAACTAGATTGAATTAAGTTTTGTTGAGTTGATTCTTATTGATTTTCATTGAATAAATTGTTGTTTGATTTTTACTAAATTTTGTATATAGTTATTACTAGAATTATTATTAAATATTTGATTGTTTTTTTTTTTACTAACTTTGTCATATTTTCTTTCAGTGCACGCTTAAAGTCCAGGCCTGGCACATTAATCACAAATCCGCATAAAGTACCCATTAGGTAACGGCTATTTCCAGCACACAGTTCATGTCGAATATCATTGTAAAAGGCATAAAAATAATATAGTACTTTACAATCTTTGGAATTAATGCAATTAGTATGTAATCAGGCCTTGTATATCTCAAGTGTTTCTAGTGATTGAATGTGTTCTATGCGGTGCGAGTTTCTGATCATTTTGGCATTGTGAAAGTCTGCTCTTATCCCCGGGGTTGAGGCATAGGATGATAGGGCAGTGGTGTCTTTGTTATGATTGATGTCATATTTGTGCTCACGAAGACACTTGTTGAGGGAGCATTTCGTGGAACCAATATACACAAGCTATCTTTGAAACCTGTCATCCCATAATGGAATAGAGTATACCCCTGGAGCCAATCTATTGTCCATTTCGTCCTTGCTATTGCACAAGAGGTCATATATAGTACTAGGCCTCTTGTATGCAATCTTTTTGTTTGTATATGTTGCAAATTTCTCTGTAAATAAATTTGAGGTGGTGATTATATTCAACAACCACTAGAGACTGAGTGTTATTTGAGTTATAAGTGCACGTATCAATGTTGTCACTGAGATTTCCATGTGAAGAGTAGGAATACACCATGCTATAAATAAATTTTGGACCATACCCATGATGGGTGGCTATGTTCTAGATGAACTGTAATTCAGACAAAGTGTCTTCAAACATGAAATGGTGTATGAATACTCTTTTGGTTAAGGCCAGAAGGCAGCCATCTTGTGTGAGAAGGGGTCCACTGAAATGGCCGGGATGAATAATGGGGAGTAGCATGACTTGTTATGGACATTAGCTGCTATCCAGTTGCCATCTAATTGCAAATTGATGTCCAGGAAGTTTGCAGCTGAATTGCTTATCTGGTCCAGTTTGATACAGAGGCCATACAGGTTATTGTTCATTGAATCGACAAAATGGTTTATATTGGGCTTGGTTTTCCATAAAATAAAGATGTCATCAACATATCTTTTATATAGAAGAATGTTGAGTGTAAACAGGGGTATGATTCTCTGTTCAAGTTGTCTAATCACTAACTCACATAAATCGCCCAATATTGGGTTGCCCATAGGCACACTGCACTTTTGGAGGTACGTTTTGTTGTTGAAATGGAAAAAGGAAGTGTAGCATAGAATATGGGCAAGTTCCAAGATCTGTTTATGGTGTGCTGTGGTTCCATGAGAAGAAAGTAAGAGATCACTAATCACACAAAAGCAAGGTTGTATTTTCATAGAAGGGTATAATGAAACAAAATCAAGTATAGTGATGTGTGTCTGCTCGGTTACAGTAAGTGTTCTCAAAGCATCTAATAACTCAGTGGGGTTCCTGACCATCCAATGATAATTGATCAATTAGTTATTTATATGCTTGCGTATAGCAGAGTCTAAAGCTCTAGTGGGGGATCTTGCCTTATCAATGATAGGTCTCAAAAAAGGAGAATCTTTATGTGTTTTGGTGAACACAAATAGCCTGGGAGTGTTAGGTGAAGGCACCACCGCCTTGTTTATGTTCAACTCTCTTGCAAAAGGAGTTTGTGTAAACCTTCTCACCCGTGCTTGCAGCGTGTTGACAAAGCCATCATCAATGGGTTCGCACTCTGTGTCCCTGATGTATGCTTGCATCATAGAAATGTATGTTTCTTTCTTCAATAAAACAAGAGCCTTGCTTTTATCAGCCTTGAGGATGATAATGTTGTGGTCCCTTAACCATTTCTTGGATATGGAAATTTGTTTCCAAGGTTTGTCATCTTGCTTCCAGTTGTTACTTCCTTGTATCTTGTATGCAGATTTCCATCTGAAATATTCTTTGTGGACATTTGACACTCCTGTGATGAGGTTTTCTACGTCAGGCATCACCCCCCCAGGTCGTATGTATGAATCATCAAGTGCAAACATAGGACCATGTGTTAAAGAGCGGAGGAGAAAATCAGGGGTTGAAATATTGTCCCAGCATATTAAGGAGGAGAGTTGTAAATCATGTTGTGGCTTCTGTTTTTCAAGAATCCAATCAAACTTCTTTTGATAACATTTGGAGAAGTTTCTTTCAAGCTTACATTGGAAGGTGACAATTGTCATGTGGACCTCCTGTAGTATCTCTGGATCATGGTTGTGTATTTGATTCTCAACTTTGATTACGCCCTGGAGTTTAGAAAAAAACCATCTTGCGTGTTGTGCATATCGATGATATAGAAGGCCAGATTACATACTAACTGCATCAATTCCAAAGATGATATTAATATATCTCAAGCTTGGAAGTTCTGTTATGAGGGAGACCACAACCCCCATACCTCTATTTAATGTACACATACTTATGTTAGTTTATCTTATTTTATTGTAATTTATTTTCTTTTATTTCATTTTTGTGTATATAATACTATAATATTTCATTTGTGATATGAATGATGCATATGGTAACGTCACGTGCACAATGTTCTAATGATTTTAAATTTGTGGCACAGAACTGTTCTTAGAATCTCAACATTTGTAAAACCTGATGAAGACCGAAAATTAAGGTCAAAAACGTTTGTTATTTCAATTAAATAATTTTACTGGATATTCTTTATCCAGAATCGTGCAAAAGGAGTTTGTGTAAACCTTGTCACCCATGCTTGCAGTGTGTTGACAAAGCCATCATCAATGGGTTTGCACTCTGTGTCCCTGATGTATGCTTGCATCACAAAACATAAGGTTTTGTGAGTTATTGATAAACTGTTTTGTTAGAAATAGTGTGAAAGGTTTGACTTATTATCAACATTTAAATTATAAACAAAAAAAAACATATTAACTAATACTATTAATTCATTTCTTTTGAAAAAATTATAAATTTTAAAGTTATATTCAGAAATTAGTTCAGTATATAATATAATACCCTTAGAATATTAGGTAAATAGTTGTAATCATTAATATGGACTAATTACCAATTTAAATATTTAAAAAAGAAAGAATATATCCATGTAAATTTAGTAGCTTGGTCATAGCTTTTGGTTTTGTTACACAAATATACTTATAGTCTAACAACTATACAGTATACTGTAAACGTTTATATGTATAGATTTGTGTATATTTCTTTTCATTGTATTCCATATTATGTTATAATCTGATCATTACTTGGAAATGTTAATCCAATTAACATTTTATTTGATGCACACTCCTTGACATGTTCTCATTGCCCCAGAAAAGACTACAGGCAGGAATTTTTAAGCAGAAACAAGGGATTTCAAGGGAAAAATGGGGAGGGTCATGAGTAGATACCAAAGTTTGCTAAAAAGAAGGAAGAATCAAGTGTTAAAATGGCAGAAGAAAATACAAGATCAAAAGAGGACAAGAAGTTCAGTTGGTTAATGATCAAGGTTCTCCAAAATCCAAGAAAGAATAATAATGTCACAAACAAGAAACTTTATTTTTTCCTTTTTGTTTCATACAAAAAAAGAAAAAAAATTTTCTGGATATCCCAGGAAAACATTTGTATAAAAAAATTTACAATTTCTTGATTTATGACAATCTTTCTTTTAAATAAGATTCACATACTCCCATAAAAATAAAAATATATATATACATACTTTATATATACAGGTAGGCCTCCTACAACGCGGTAGATATGTTCCTTGAAAATACCGCGTTGAAAATACCGCGTTATAGGAGACACCAACTTGATACAAAAACTGGGATTCGGTTCTAAAAAGAGTAAAACTTGGCATTTGAATGGTGTTTTTTGAATTTTTCAAATCAGCTGTTGCTAGCCACGAATTTAACACTGGTTTCATCAGCTGACGACTGTCCCATTTGTTTTAAATAATCAAATATTTTTAAGACTTTGTGTTTAAGTGCAGTTTTATTTAAAGGCAACCGTTTCTTGTTCCTATCTTCTACCCATAATATTAGCGCTTGTTCCATTTTTTCTATTATAGATGCTCTTGGACGAGCAACATTTTTCGCAAGAATAGATGATCCAGACGCAACCAAATTTCTGATCTTTTCTCCTGACCGAATCGGCAGCTCATTTAAATTAAAATGCATACTGATATCAGCTATGCACTCTTGATGTTTAATTCGATCCAAAATTTCTATCTTTGTTTGAAGATTTATAAATTTCCTTTTTAACGACGGTCCTTTCTTTTCATTCGGCATTGTTATGGCTAAAATTTTTTCAATCAGTTTTGTGGACAGTAAAAATAATAAAAAATAACTTCCTTTCACTATGTTGTTAAAAATATACATCCAATAGAAGTTTATACTGTATTTTGGACCATTTTGCAGTTCCCACTTATTGAAAGAGTATAAATGATCGAAAATTTAGTGATATATTTGAGTGTTTACGGTAACTGATGCACATCTATCTAGAAACCGGTCTTCCCCTGAAACTTTCAAGGTTATAACATGCCAACGTCCACAAATAGCTGTTTTCAAAGACTTTTAGCTCTGTATGCCGAACTGCGGCTTGTATAACGTGATCCATTGCGATTTTTCTGTTATGTGAAGATAATTCATTTCTAAATACTGTAAACCGCGTTGTAAAAGTACAGTGTTGTAGGAGGCCTACCTGTATATATTTACACACACACACACTTATGTACACAGAAAACCCTGTATACTTTCCATTAGATAATTTGTGTCTAAATGTCAAAACTTCCACACATTATACAGTATAACCCTAAATGGACAACAATAACAAGCGTAATATATAAAATATTTTTAATATACTTTCTTATAATTCTTTATCTTTTACTCTTTCTCAATTTTTCTGTTCACTATTTTATAAATTAAACTAATACCTACCTGTTCTTTAACCTCATTTTCAACTGGTAATAATATTTCATTGCATTCATCACAAATATCATCCACGTCTCTACTATCGGGAGAAGAGAGATCAGAGGCAGTAGCACTGTTGTTGTCACTGGGTTCTAGAAACTGTGAACACCATGTAGCTAATTGCTGCTGCTGTTGTTTCACTTTAACTAGATCTTTTTTATATCTTTGCATTCCTTTACTCATATAACCAGTGCTAATTTAATAAAGGTTTTAATGTTATATTACCATATTCACAATAAAGTTTTTATTTGTTACATGTTTCAATAAGTTTAATAACAAATTTTGTTAAATATTCCTCTTAATTCCATAATAAAAGTTTTAAAAAATAATTTTAAAAATTTTAAATTCTAAAATAGCTTAATAAATTTTACATTTGTTACAAAAAATTTTGAAAATTCCTGTTTACATTAAAACAAAAATATTTTGATGAATTTTTTTATTTTTTTATTTCAAAGTGAAAATTTTTTAAATAAAATATTTTATACATAAATTTATGTTAGTTACTAATTACCTTTTTAAAATGTCTTCTAAAAAATATGCTTGCACATCATGAATTTTTCCAGGCACTGAAAGAATAGAAATAGATAAATAAATAAAACTCACGCCAAAATTGTATAGCTTCTTGATAAAAAGCACTGAGTTCAGCGTTAATATGATTTTTCTTATATTGCAAGTACTTTCGACGAGTATTATATCATCGTCCTCAGGCGAAAAAAAAAAACAAATTTGAAAATTAGAACGTGCAGAGTGTTCCAAGTAGAAAACGGAAAATTTTTCTTGTCAATTTCTAAATTATAACGTTCGGTAATTCCGTTGGTCACGTGCAACAAGCTTTTGCGGGCGTTCGAAATATCTTAAATCCACACGACTAGCAGCGCATGCATTGAGGAGCGATCGTACTAATTGTGCGACTCTTGGCGCTTTTTGCTGTTTAAATGCTGGTATAAAGTAACCCATATTTCGGGCAAGTTGAGTGTGGGGACGTTGCATGCGTCTGTGGTCATTGTAAGGAGCGCTTCCCAAATAAATGTAATTCTTCTGTTGTCACAGCTCCTGAGCAACGCTGTTTTTGACCATAACGGGTTATAGCCCTGCTGTAGAACTTTTCTCACCAGTGAGTTTTTCCTACGGCACTTTTCTCTCGTCAGTGAGTTGGTTTCTCTTCTATTTTTAAGTTTCTAAGGTGAATGGTGAGGAAGCCTTTGTCCTAACAAAATGTAAGCCCAAACAAAAATATAATAAAAAGCAAAAATAAAAGTAAATAAAAATAATGCTCGAACTTGGTTCCTTACAGCAGAATTAAAAAAGCATGGTACAGTACATAAGCTACGATTGTACTACATTTCACATATTGCAAACTAAACATTGCTGTATTGACTATATGTTGATTCTAAGCCCAAAACAATTTGTTTCTTTAATTTAAAACATCCTGGATTTCATGACACTTCAAATTTTAGAATAAGTACTAAAGAAGTCAATTTAAAAAACTTTTAATTTAAAATGATTTATTTGCATAAATTGATAATATAAAATTACTTTTATACCTTCTATTACTGGACAGGAACCAAAATACTTGACAAAAAGCTGAATGTCTAAAGTTGCAGACATAAGAATTAATTTCAGATTTCGAAACTTAAGCAAAACATCTCTGATTATTAATAAAAGAAAGTCACTGAATCTATCTCTTTCATGTACTTCATCCTAAATAAGAGGGAAGAAATAATTAGTAATTGTAATTATAATCAGTTATCATTAATTAATTAAAAAGTTAGTTACTTAAAAAATTATCATTAAAAGTTAATTACATAACATACAAAATAATATTTTCAGACCATTTTCAACATTCAAGTTGCAATATCAAGTGTATTTTAAGGTATAAGATTAAATTCAAGGAGTGATAAATCATTTCATTATAATTATAAAAATTGAATAGAATTTTATTATTACTTAATCCTTAGTTCTAAGCCAACTTAGCTTCTTCAATAAATTTAACTCCATGATTTCACATTAAACAAAGTCAAAATGTTGAAAAAGTTTTAAAGTCAGAAACTTTAATTTAATAAACACTTTCAGAATAAAAAAATTCCAATCCCATTTTCAAATCAGTAAAAAAACAAATCAAATCTTTCTGGGCACTATTTTATTTATTTGCTTGAATTCTTGCACCCAGTAATTGGAAGATATAAATTCTTTAATTTCAATTTTCTGGCTTCCTCCAAAGCCCATTGTCTAATATATCTATCATGAATTGTAATCAATTTGCTCTGGCAGTTGTAAGCATTGTCTAGCAGTGGAAAGAAATATTTTTGGTATTTTTTCTTGATTAGTTCCCATTTTTTCTCAATATTTTCTAAAATTTGTGATGTACTTATCATGTTTAATTTTCCTAAACATGTGTTGAACAGATTTAAAAAACTGGCCTTGATCTTTGTAGTTTAATACAAAATTGATGTAATCAAAATTGAATGTATTAATTATTTGGAGTTTAAAAAGTATCAAAAGCAACTGTAAACTCATTTTCTTCTTTTGATAGTTCATCAAATCAAACAATTTCATAATAACTATAAATGCAGGGTTCCTACTCAAATTTTTGTTTTGAATTCCCTGACTTTCCCTGACCAATTTTGTTCAAATTCCCTGACCCTCACATCTCTTACAGTGTGGAATATCAATATAATAAAACAGCATTTTATTTACTGTGAACATTGAGTACTCTTTTTGCACAGTTGATATGTTTCAAAGACTGCTACATTAAAAAAATACAGTACATATATCCTGTAGAAAAATGCTTGATAGAATCCACAACTTCAATGTAATGAAAAAATAAGCAATTTACAAATGAAACACAAGCTTTTTATTTTATCATCATTTATCATTATTACTTGTATGTAAATCTAGCAAATACAAGGTAGCATGAAATCAACAAAACAGTATTTTTTCATATACAAATAGTACTGTGCTGTGCTTAAAATGAACTCTTGACTTAGAAACATGTAATTTTAAAACCAATCTTTCAACAAAAAGAGTAACTTTTTTAAACAGCAACATATTAAGAATTTTCAAATAAAACATTTTTTCCCCATAAAAAACTGATCACATAAAAAAAGAATTAGTTTTCTTTTGTCAACCACATTTTTTCAAAATCACATAAAAATAGATTGTATATAAAATCTTTTAATTTTTTTTTACAAAACGAACAAACAAAATACAGAGAAACTTCTTAGTATTACAATAGAGCATTGATTATCCGAATGTCAATCAACTGAAACATCGGTTAACCGAAAGCGTTCCAGTCAGACTGTGTAATCTAGTATCAAATGTTTTGATACTAGATTAACTTCTAAAGTATAATTTTTTTTGTTTTTATATTTTTCAATATATTTATTTTGTTTGTACAAAATAAAAAAATAATTTTTAATACAATAGCCATAATTATTAATATAAAAATTTTCATTACGCTTAACATCGACGAAAATTGAACACAAAGCAACACGCAACAGAAAAAAATTTAAACATAGGATGTATTAATATACTATATTGGGATATACTAATATACTATATTAATAATGTATTTTTTCATACATTTATCCGATTCCAATCCGAAATCCAATCCAAAATGTATTTCGAGATCCAATCCTAAATGTATTTCATACATTTATTCCAATTAATATTTAAATACAATTATCCGAAAAATCAATTTTCCAAACAACCCCAGTCCCCAATTGATTCAGATAATAAATGCTCTACTGTAATTCTCTCTTTTAAAAATACAGATAATTAGAAAATAAAAAGCTGCTTTCAAGTTAGTGACATTCACAACATGGCATTTTGCAGTAGCATATAGGAAAAAGAATTATATTCTTTGTTAATATGTGGAATTGATGCTATTATCAAATATCAACAATGAAGAACAATAATTTATTTGATCCTAATGTTAAGTTATAGAAGTAAAAATTACATTTACAGTGAACCTTGCATAATGAGCAAAACAAATTGTAAAAAACCAACTCACTTAACAGGCGATGTTTTGCATAATGAGTGATGAGGAGAGGGGAAGTCCTGGATTGTGCACATGTCCGTGTTTAGCACTCGTTCCACTAGCATCTTAGTGCTGCTTGTGATCAAACCTATTATAACTCACAAAACACAAGAACTATTATATTAATATAGTTTTAGCTTTTTCCCCCAAGTGTATTTATTTTCATTTTTACTCTTTTTCTTCCTTTTCATCCTTAAGTTGTTGTTTAAGTTTTCTTTTTTCTTCAGCCCTCAATGTCTGCTACTTTTAAATATCTTTTTTCTATTGCAGAGATGCAATATATCACTGTCTAGATCTTCTCTCTGACTGTTAACATTTTCTGGTCTATATTTATTTGATCAATACCACCAGCAAAATTTGATCAATACCACCAGCAAAACTAAGCATTGAGCAACTAAACTTTCTTCCTTAAGATTTTCACTCAACAGTGATTTTTTTAACCGAGAAACCACTCTCAACACTTGCATTCCCATGTGAGAAAGAAAAAGAAATTTTGATAATAGATCATAGATCTTGCAGTTGCCTATCATCCTTCATAATTTCACAATAAAATGTGTCCAGACCATTATCATCACTCCTTTCAGATATGAAGTCCTCAAACTTCGTAGAATAGGGTTTTACGGACACTTTATTGCAGAGTATATCATACTATTCTTTTGCTTTGACAGCAATTTATCATCTATCCTTTTGTAATCATGTAGAGCCTCCAGTAAAACATTGAAACACAATTTTCCAACATTTGATTGCATTTTAATAATTTTTGGGTCTAAGTTGCTCAAAGCCTTCACACATTTGTACTTGACAGGTCCCTTTCTCAATAATCTTTTGTGTCATCACTTTCAGCCCATTTCAACAATATCTTAGAAAACACAGAATATCTTTGTTGCTTAATTTCAATTCCTTTAAAACCTTTTTTGCTGCAAAACCAATATCCAAATCCTTCAGATGTACCAAATTTTCATTAGAATTTAAATCTATGTTTAGAAACTTCTTGTCAGTGACCCTGTCATTTTTCACAAACTTTCTCATCATGTTCATTAATAATTGAAAACTTGCTTTATAAAGATAGGGTGCAAAAGGTTTGTTGCTCTGAAATCAGGTGAGGAAGCTCTCATTTTGTGTACATATTGACCAAAAAAATAAAAGTTTAAATTTAATAAAGGAATCATTGAGTATCTGTCTCAAAAATGTAGCCACCTTACTGTCTTTCAACTTTGTACTGTTGTTTATGTACTACATCTTCACAGATTTACAGATATTCCAACAACTTCTGCTGCACATTCTAAGCACTCTCCATTCTCCAACCAACTTGTTGAACCAAACTTTTTGGGAAATAATCTGCTTCCACTTATAGCGATGTAATCAGCATGCCGAGTGGGTGAGCCTTTTAGCAAATAGTACAAATTCCATAGTAGTGGTAACAAATTCCAATCTATTACTTAAAAACCAGCTTTTACAGCACCATGGACTACATGTAAACCACATGTTCCCATTCTCACGAATGATTTACCAACATTCTGTGTCTCCATGTGATCTTCTAATTTATTCAAAAAACCTATGTTTACAAATGGTTCATCCTTACAGATATGAAGAATTTTTGCTGGATCAAGATGAATGTCTGAAAGGCCATTGAGAAATGCAGAGAGAAGATCATCTGTTGTACTATGATCCAGAAAGACACTCTGGTCATAACCTTATCTTTACTCTTGTCCCAGTATTTTATCACAAGATCCATTTGAGTTCCTTCAGCAACTTTGTTTAGTAATTCGTCAAAGGAGATAGTAATATTATCACAACTTGTAACAGCATCAATCAATTTTTCTCTGAAATAATGGGCTAGCCCATAATTTATTATATAGGAAGCTTTATCTGGATCCAACTGAAATTGTGTTGCTATAGCACTGTCAGAGAACATTTTTTTGAAAATGTTCTTAATATCAGCGCATGAATTGAGTGACATCTTTTTCTTTATAACTGCCAATGCTCAAGTTATCTCTGCTTTTATTACATCATCTTTTATCACAAAAGATGTCAATGTGCTCTAAGAAATGTTGATTTGGCAAGAGACTGTTCATTAGTGATCTTAGATCTATCTTCCAAACCAGAAGCCATTTCACACACATTTTGTTGACTATTAGAAGAGTTTGAATTTGTTGGGGTTAAAAATCTTATAGTGAAGTCTGTTCTAACTTCAATCTTTTTATTTCAACACGATGAGAACTATTTGCATGTGATACTAATGCATGCTTTCCCACATTAGTTAATGAGAAAACTTTACAACAAATGCAGCAAAATGCTTTTGTATCATCATCTTTTACAGTTCCTAACCAGAAATTGAATTCTAGATGAATAGCTGGATCCAGCCATTGGAGATTAAACCTCGTTTGTCTCCGTGCCATTATAATTTAAGAATGTAGAAAAACACAAACCCTGAATAATATTATTAAAAGACAGATGAACCAGATCAGAAAGCAACGTGTAAGACTTGTTTTGTCACAACACTACGTAAAATATTGAAATGACATCCAATCCATATCTGCATATATATATTAATTAAAAGTAGTGTTGCCAACTCAAAATTCAAATTTACAGCTAGACATTTTAATAAAAATAACCAAATTATATTGTTTCCATTAGAATTGTTTGATTCTTTTAGCTAGATTGTTCATAAATCCACTGAATCTAGCAAAAAATTATCTGAATTGGCAACTCATTAAAAGAAAAAATGTTCCGTTGCCACCATTTTGATTTCAGTTTCGGTATAAAGGCCAGAGTTTTAATAATTACTTTTAATAATTTTTATTTATTATTTATTTAATTTTGCATTAAATTTCGTTTTTGCATAAAATTTTCTTAAGAATGCAGACAAAATTTATTTATTTTAACTCTTGCAATAATTTTAAGTATTGTAATTAAATCATATCACAAACCATCTTTCTCACTTTCCACTAATATAAAGGGTCTTGGAACATATCAGTCATATATGGCAGATATTAATAAACATATTTTAAAAGAAAAAGCCTTGTAAATCAATNTACTTAAGTATGTAAAAATTTATTACATTTCATGTTGTACGAGGGTTTTACCCATTTCTCGAACCGTGTCAGAGTGAATCCGTGCTATAAAAGTACCGTGTTATACGGGGGATGGTACCAATTCTCGAACCGTGTTAGAGCGAATCCGTGCTATAGAAGTGCCGTGTTATACGGGGGTTACCTGTAATTGTTTTAGACAGTACACATTTTATAAGGATTTCGTGAATGCTTAAATTAATTTTGTTTTTTGGTTAGGAAAAATGTATCTGTTTATAATTGAAAAAATTAACAGAACAGCAAGAAGTCAAAATGATGATATTTTTGGATTTAAATCAAATGTATTATGTAAACCACATTTTCACTTTCCAGCACACTTATTTAATAATTGACAAATGTTTTTGACTTGCTTTACAGATTAACTTCAGGTCTATATGTCAACACATTTTTGTTCTATTTCTGAAACATTAAAATATTAAAAATTTGTTTGTCTGATCAAAAAGTGAAAAAATTGTTTGCATGAGATTTTTTAATTATTTTCCAGTTTGAATTTCTTTTTTCATATGATTTAAATCCAATAATAAAACAGCAAACTTCAAAATAATTTATAAAAATGTGATAAAATAGGAAAAATCTAATAAAGTGAAATCATTTACAATATAATAATTATACCCTACCCAAAATTCAATGCCACACATAGCAATAAATTTATTTCTGGCATAACTTTACAAGAGTTGTGTATCGTTTTGAAATGAAAAATGATGATTATTATTATTATGTTGGGTTTAGTGGGTTATTCAGTTCACACCGGTGGCTGTGTACTATGCCGGACCAGAGTCAAGGCATAGCAACCAAAACAAAATTAAAATTAAATAAGTGTGTCAGTGTCTGTCTGTATTCAGGAATTTCCTAACAATATGGCATGTATTCAATACAGTGGCCTTCTGTAGTTGATGCATGTATTTCTATTCAATTGTAATGTTCCCAGCTTTTGTGTAGTGTGGGTGGTATCACACCTGTACAGGAGAGAACAACAGGTACAATAAGCACCCTATCCATCCTTCATAGATGCCTTATTTCCTGGGCGAGTTCTGTGTACTTGCTAATTTTTTCAATGAATGTGTTTTGTACATTGTGAGTGTTTGGAACAGATATGTCTATAATGTATGTGATTTTATTGTGTTTGTCAATAAGTGTGATGTCTGGTCTGTTGTAGTAAATTGTTTTATCTATGATTATGGCTCTGTCGTAGTACATTTTGTGCGTGTTGTTTTCCAATACTGTCTGTGGAATATACTTGTAGTATGGTTCATGGATGTCTACCAATTTGTGTTTCTTTGAAAGCTCTTGGTGTATTATATTTGCTACTTGATTGTGTCTATGTAAATTATCTGTCTGTGCCAAGAGCTTGCAACTAGAAGTGATGTGTTGTATAGTTTCTGGCATGATGTGACATTTCCTGCATGTGTCATTTGTGAGTGTTGTATCTTTGAGTATGTGTTTTCTGTAGTTTTTAGTATTTATGACCTGATCCTGTATGATAATCATGAATCCTTCCGTCTCCCCAAAGAGGCATCCCCGATCTAACCAGCTGTTTGGCGCAGTTTTGTCAACTTATTATTATTGACATTACTTATGATGTACAACAAAAGACAGTTGGCATAGTAGAAAAATACCATAAAATATTAAAACTGTTCACAGAGTCAAATCTTATTCTGCATTATTTTGTCAATTTACTTTCATTTCTAATTTTTATTTTGCTTTCTAAACAGTAAAAGTGAACATTAATTATTTTTTCATACAATTTTATGTTATATTTTTATTTTATTTTACTTCTGATATTTTAGATGTACTATAATTTATTAATTTATACTTCCTTCCTCACTTCAGTAAAAATTAAATGAAATTAATCCATTACTACAAGAGAAGAATGTAACAATTTTAAGTGCAATAATTAAAATTTTATTCTTTAAAAAGGAATTGGAGTTTTGAGTAGCTTGTGTAAAAATAAACAACTTTGACTTCTTTCCATGATACATGAACTTCAGAAAAACATTCTAGAATCTCTGAAGAGATTTCCAGTGCAATTTTTATAGCAATTTTATGATTTGCAGTCATCTTTATTAAAATAATTTCCAAAAACCAACAATAATAATTGTTGAGTTCAAAATTCATTTATAATTACAGCCCAACCAGTAAGCTTCATTGCACACAATTATGAAAGCATAATTGATTAAATTTCTGACTGATTTAAAACAGAAATTTAAGGATACTTCAAAAAGGATTTCCCAAAAAAAAATTCTTTGAAATAGCTTACTGAAAGAGTACCTCAATATAGCTAAATGTACAATTTGAATACTACTTTCTTTTGTTACAACTTATTTATGAAAAACTACCTTTTCATGCTACACTACAATAAAAAACAAAATGTAAGAGTAAATGTAATATTGACACAAGAATCAATATAAAACTTTAAATTGATACTGACACACAAAACACATCTTATATACTTACTCTAGTAACATTTAATAGAAATTACAAAAGCTTTCAACTGCATCGAAAAGCCTTGCAGAGGTAAAAAGTTGTTTCACAGATAGAACATTCAAAAATGGAGAAACATTCCAAAAAGAATATGATGTAATTTGAAATTTACATTATAAATTAACCAACTCAATATATTATAACGTTTACATATGATAAATATAATGGATTAATATAAATTTTTAAATAGTAAAAATATTGAAAATAAAAACAGATATCTTGTAGGCTTATGATGCATTTTGAAAATCATAAGATAAAGTATGACTTGCTTCAAAACTACACAATAAAATAAATGAAACACATTATTAACATTACATGTAAAAAATAAATTAAAGTGTGTAATATAACGTTTAAAAATAAAACCAAAAAATACTACAAATAATGCAGAAATTGGAGTTAAATGAATATCAAGTAGGACTATGAATTAAAGGTACTTAGAATGTATTGCTAAGCTTGAGGTAAAAAATGTAATCCTTATTGATGCAACTTCCATTTACTTTAGCTTTATATATTTCTATAGCTTTGACTATTTGTAATTTCTCTCTATCATATATCTTATGCAAAAGCCTAGCTTCATTCCAACAGAAGAACAATCCAGACTCAGACACATATTGGGCCAGTGCTGTAACACAGTTATGTTTGGAAGTATCATAAAAATGTTCTCTAATTCTCACATCTAGAAATATATATGAAGAGGCAACATATGTTAATGGTATGTTGAATCTGGAATCAACCAATAGAGTTATGTATACCCAGAAGCTCGTAATTTGTTTAAGGCAGCTTTACCATTAATAAGTAGGCTGTATACTGTAAAAAAATCTTTTATAAGTAAGATGGGGGTTTAAATTTTTAGCAATCCTGGGGACCTATTCTGACCTCTTCCGATAACTCAACAAGAGCAATACACAAGACATTCGATAAGTCCCCTTAGCAAAAGGCAGTTAACAAACTTTAAACAAGTCATGCTGATAATTTAAGCCATTGCTTGGCAAAATTAAAATTTAAATTTCTTTTTAACTCTACTACATATGTTGTTGAATAATGCAAAAGTATTGTATTCTTTATATAACTGAAATCTAGTATCTGTTTAAAACTAAAATTATTGAAAAATTAAACTGTAAAAGCCCTTTACCTGCTTTCTAGTCGAATCTGATATCCAACAGTTTGACCAACTTTCTCATCTCTTTCTGCTGCAACTCTTTCAGCCACAGATAATGTAGCAAGCCGTCTTGGTTGAGTGCATATAATACGACATGGCTGTCCAATTGTATGACAATGATCCAGTATAAACTGTGGTATCTATCAAATATCACTTTATATTCATGTAATTATAAAACAAGTATCTTAAAACCACAACTATATTACCAATATTTTTATTTCATACTTTAGATAATTTTATATAAAACTTATAAAATATTTATATAAACAATGTAACAAACTTTATTGAAAATTATATTTTATTATACAAACATCATATTTTCAATAGAAGAAATATTATGTTCATTATGCTTGAAATTGCTTCTTACAATGCCAAAAACTTTAAGAAAAATATTAATACTGTCTATTGGCATTATTATTGTTTACTTGAACATTACTACAAGTTCTTTCAACAAACTACAGATTGTCTTCTTCAGGCATAGAATAATGGAATCTGAATGGAAACTTACAATTTAAAATATATGTTAATGTGTTCCAAACAGCAAATTTAAGAGATATTCCATAGGATGAGTCAATATATTAAAAAAACATTAATAGCAACAACAATAGATTAAATAGAAATAAAAAGGAATGGGCAAAAAAATGTGTAATTTAAAATTAGCTCAAATGAAAATTATCACACTAACCTCCTGTATAACGTGTGCCATATTTCCGAAAGGTTGGGTGTAGGTTTGTTACACGAACTAAGTGTTGTTATGTAAAGTGACTTCCATATGAAAATGATCCTGCAATCTAAGCACTGTTGAAGTATGGTGGCAGTGACCCATAATATATTGTAATCATTTTCTAAAGCATTTCTGGCAAGTTCGGTACAGGTTCTGCAATTTCTGATACAGTCTTGATGCTCTTGAAAGTGGCAAGCAATTTTCTAGTTGTGGCCCTAATATAAAATGTTTCTGCTCTCATTTGTGTCTGCTGTAAAGAGACCATGTACAATCCTGACTTCTGCAAAACAGTAAAACTATCCCATCCCTAATTACATAACAATCAGTGCAGGAAAATCTGTGGTTTTATAGAAAGTCATGAAATCATATGGTTTGCTATTCCTAACTATTCTTACTTTCATAAAAAAAAGGGTACCATGTTTATATAACTATTATTATAATGTATACTTTATAGATATCTTCACTAATATATATATATAAGATGGACCATAATTATGTCCCCTATTTTATTTTAAAGCACCATGTTGAAATTCACACACACAAAATTACATATCACAAAATACATCATGATAGAGAATTTCATATATCACACCATGCAATGTTCTTTAGAAAAACAAAAAATGTCCTGTTGCTCAGTAATGAAGTCTTCCTTCTTGAGATGAAGCTTCATCTCATTAGATATGAGAGGTTCTTGCAACTCTATATAACTCTTTCCCAGATAATGAATTGGACACAGTAGTGATATCCCACAGTTGGGGGAAATAAACTCATAAATAAATAAATAAATAAATATATATGTATATATTCTATTTTCTACATATATTCTCTCTCTATATATATATATATAAAACTTTAATATAGCAAATACATATAACAACCAATACACCGCAATAAACAAATATGATAATCACACATAGCACCAACACAGTAAAAAGATTTTGATTGACAATAGTACCCTCAGTAATAACTCAGTGACAGAGCTAGAGAGTCTGTTAATAATAATCCCCAAAATCATAAAATTGTCAAATCTTACATTAATTTTTAAGTCTTGTCATTTCTGGCAGTCTTCTGTGATCACTTCTCAATTGCTGTATACAATCATAGGGTAGTCTAAGTTTCACCTACTCTTGCTTAGTACATGGTCTGCAGCACTCTCCTCTTCACTCTCTCCACATCGACTTGTTACAACAAAGCTCTGTTTTCCCCAAGTCCCTCACACATGTCCTTTCATTCTCATATCCTCTGGGTTTTCTTGATGCTACTGGTTCTTTCACTTGACCAGATGGGGTGTCACCAATATTAAGGCATAAAACACACCATGACCTCTGAGATCATCCAACATTATCCTGAAAGAATCCTCTGGGGTTTTATGATTAATCACATTTATGCAACAAAGCTACTCTATTCAGGAGATTATGGACAGAATTATGGCAACTGTGCATTTTTTGCATATTTGTTTTTTCCTCAAAGAATTTTGACAACATTCCATAAATGTCAAAATTCTTTGAGGAAAAAACACTGCATGAGCACGTGTTAATTTTGTAAATGGCCTTATTGAAATGAAGTAAAACTCAAAAATCCCTCATAATAATATGTTTTGTAATACCACATAATTTAACTTATATGAATTTCAACACACTTTAAACTAAAAAAGAGACATAATTATGGCCATACTGTACATTAATACTAAATTAAAGTAATTTAAGTTAATGAAAAATTGAAAATACCTGAGTAGTTTTGCCACAACCAGTATCACCAGTAATTAATACTACTTGATGGCAGAAAATTGTTTGCACTATCTCATCTCTATATGAAGCAATTGGCAAATTTTGTTTAAAGGTGAAAAGATCTGAATCTCCTCTTCTAGGAGGAATTTGAGGTATACCATTATTTAACCTTCCAGTAGTTCTATTCACATCACGAGCTAAAAAAATAAAATTAATTTTTGCAATTCTTTTTAATAACAGTAATAATAATAATAAATAAAAATCTTCAAATATTTAATTATTAACTAACACATTTCCATAACATTATATAACATACAGGGTAAAACTATATAAATTACAATAAATTATTATTAAATGAAAATCAGTTTCTTGGGTGTAAAACAATCAAATAAAAACACAAAATAATCAGAGAAATGTATATAATTTAACATTTTTGACATTACAAAATTTATTCTTTGGGACAAACAGCTTTGTAAATAAAACAAAAATTTTTGTTGTGTTTATAAACAGACCCATGAATAAGCAACTCATCCTTGATACTCCAGCAGTATTCAATTTCATGAATACTGCTGGAATATCAAGGTTGAGTTACTCATTCAAGTTGTTTCCAGTTTTTTGAGTTAGTTACATTAAATAGATCTGTATATGAGGACACTTTTGATGCCTTATCATGAATCTGAAATCATCTATCATAATGCAGTGGACACATCATATTTAAGGAAGAAATGATGTTCAATATGGTGAGGTGTAAACTGCTTATGTGGGCAATGGCAATAAACACTGAGACAAGAACTCCACTTATTATTATTGTTTGCTTCATTTCACTTATTTTATAATTGCATCTACAATAAATTGTTAACAAAATTAAAAAATCCTGAAACAAATTGCTTAAGTTTCCCATCAACAATATTCTAAAACTGCATGTGGTGCCATCTGTTATAATATTTTATTAAAAAACTTTTTATATAATGAATTATTATAAAATGGCAAAAAGCTTAAATTTCAGGGTAGAGATGAGTTTCATAAAAAGTTGTAAATGCCAATAACAAGTAAAATCTTCAATAAGTCTGATCCCACTCAAGATATGACACACACTACTCTATATCTCCCTATCCCTCGATCTTGAACCAATAAAATTTAATAGTATCATCTCCCTAATACACAAACCTGCCTGCAGAATTTCAGAAATTTTCAACAAAAGGCACAGGAGTTATTAAGCTTCCAAGTGGGTGAATAAAATCATGCCTCCTCACACATACACACACAAATATCAATACATACATAAAAAAACCCCCAAAGGGCTTTTTTGTTTCTTATCATTTCAGGTCCAGAGTCCAAAAATGTAAAAATCTGAAGTGGTCATTTTTTGACTGACTGCTATACTTTATCTCTGTTATATATATAAGAGCTGCAAAAGTAATAAAAAAGATGGAAAGAAAAAGCAATGCCTATGATAATACCTTCTGAACTGTGTGTAAGTTAAGTGACATGTTTTCAATGATAACTTCAGAAGTGCGGGATTTAAGGTCAGCAGGTCATTTGACATTTTTACTTTACTTTTAGCAATTTTCTGTTGCATACACATTGATGCAGATTATTGTCCAGAAGCTTCCAGATGCCCTCAAGAAAAAAAGCTTTCTGGTGTAGCCTTTAGTGAATTTTGCACCATCTCCATTACCCTGGTGTCATCAGCAAACTTCTGACTTCGCAAATGTTCTTTCAAAGATCCAAACAAATGAAAATCTGGTGGTACTTTATGGTGGTTATTTCATCACCTCAAATTTCAGATTACTTAGTTTATCCCCTGTATGTGCAGCCATATAGGACTTGGCATTGTTATGAAAACAGCAAAACTCGTTTTGAGAGAAATCTCTGATATTTTTATTATATTGCAGCTTCAACTTGTTCACCAGCATGTCATACCAAGTATTAATCACAGTTTGACTGTGATTAATACTTGGTATGACATGCTGGTGAACAAGTTCCTGAAAGTGCATCAATATAGGGCCATTAGGATCCCAAAATATTGTCAGTATGACTTTCCCAGCAAAAGCCTGTGTCCTGAAATTTTTGTTGACTGGAGACAACATGTGCTTCCACTGCATCTATTGTCTCTTACTCACTGCTTCATAACAGTGCATTCAAGACTTGTCTCCTGTCACAATTCAATGGAGAAAAGCATCTCCTTCATAAGCATAACCAATCCAAATGCTCCTGACAAATGTCTGTCACACATGCTTTGTGATCAATGGACAGCTGCCTTAGGACCAATCTGCTACACACTTTCCTACACCTGAAGTCATCATACAAAATATTGTACATAGAGTCATGACTCATTCCATGGTAATTTCATTAACAGTAACCTTCCTGTATCCACAGATTCACTGCTCGATCTGCTGTTTCACAGTCTCAGTTATTACGCAAACTAGTCTCCTACTCTGGTGTTCATCACTAACATTTTGTCTTTTGTTTTAAATCTTTTCACCCAATCATACACTCGTCCCTGACTAAACAATTGTTTCATACTAAACCTTCATTCCTAAAATACAAATAACACTTCATTGCTCTTCCATGGTGCAATTTGACAGTATTGTGCAAGTATTGCAAAAGTAATTTCAGAAGGTTCAAGTTCAAAACCGTTTTAATGTAATTAACAAATTATTTAGAGACCTCGAGAAAGACCTGGCAACCTACTCCAGTATTTTGTCAAAATACCCTATGGATCAATTTACAAATACTGTTTCAAATGTGTTACTGACTTGTAAAAACCTTGGGCCAGTAGGTACCAATCGAGCAACTGGGAAAGAGCAACGAGTTGTTATTAGTAGTGGGAACGTTGATGATGTGATCAGGCTAAATCCTAAAGGATACCTGATTGCTGATGTAGCTTGTAGTGAAAAGAGAACTTTGCGCTGTACTAAAATATTTAAAATTGGAACTTGGAATGTAAATGGGTTACACGTAAGAAAGTTGAACATAATCAAAAATAAAATGAATCGTTTGACGATTGATCTTCTAGGCATCAGTGAAGTTCACTGGACTAGAAGCGGACTTTTTAATTCCAATGATTATATCATCTACTACTCTGGAAATGATACCATCCAGAGAAGAGGAGTAGGTTTCATTCTGCACAGAAAGATCAGTTGCACCATAGAAAGCTTTTGAACATTTGACAACAGAATCATAGCAATCCATATCAAAGGAAAACCTCACAATTTTACAATCCTTCAGGTTTATGCACCAACTGCTGATTCAGGGTAACTGAGGCTTTCTACAATGAACTCCAAAAAACACTGCGTCAGACAGCAAGAAAAGATGTCTATGTCATCGGAGATTTCAATGCAAAAGTAAGTGAAATGGAAGAATCATGCATTATAAAAAAATTTGGTCTTGGAAAACGAAACAAGTCAGATGAATGACTGATTCAGTTCTGCCAAAAACAGCATATTACCATAATGAATATGTGGTTTGAACAGCCAAGGCAGCAATTGTATACATGACTTCTTCCAATAGGAAATATCATAACCAAATTAACTACTTCTTGTGCCAACAAAAGTGGAAGAGTTTCGTTTTGTCTGAGAAAACGTATCCTGGCACCGATTGCAGAACAGAACATGAACTGCTTGTTGCCAAAGTGAAACTAAGGATTTGTAATATCAAGCAACCATCAGTGATGCCAAAATTTGATGTCGAAATGATCCCTGATGCCTATGATATAGAAATAAATATATTTGACTCACCCAATTTCCCAGAAAGAGAACCAGAAGAACTATGAAAAGATATAAAAGTACATATCAATGATGTAGCCCATCAACTCATTCCACACAAAAAGAAGGCAAAATGGCAAAATGGATGTCAGAAACTACAATAGTAGTAGCAGAACAATGAAGAAACGCAAAAATCATTGGTAACCGAGAGGAAATGCAAAGATTAAACACAGAGTTCCAAAAATAAGTCAGGAAAGATAGAGAAAAATTCTGGAAAGAACAGTGCAAGAAAATGAAAGCAGCAGCTCAGAAAGGCCTCATTAGACAATGCTTTGCTTATGTGAAGAAAGCCCAAACACCATTTATCGCATGTAAGGCAGCTGTCAATGGCCAAGATGGTCATGAATTACATGATCAACACACAATCAAAGAAAGATGGAAGGAATACACAGAAAAACTTTATGCCAGTGAAATGGAAGTTGATACCCAAGGTATTGAAAAGGAAGAACTGACAGAGCTGGAGCCAGATATCTTAGAAGAAAAGGTGGCATGGGCACTCAAACAGCTGGCTAGCCACAAGGCTCCAGGAGTCGATGGAATACCAGAAGAGTTGCTGAAACCCTTACCATTAAAAGTTTTGACAGCACTGTACTGTAGTGTGTGGAAGAATGACCAATGACCAAAGGATTGGAAAAAATCTATTTTTATCCCCTACCATACCAAAGAAGGACAATACCAAAAATTGCTCCAACTATCGCATCATCGCTCTGATTTCACACACTAGTAAGATTCTACTGAAAATCATTCAACAGCGTATGTATTCAACCATAGACAGAGAGATGCCAGATGTACAGGCAGGTTTCTGAAAAGGAAGAGGAACATGTGATCATATTGCTAATCTTTGTTGGATGATGGAAACAGCAAAGGAATACCAAAAAGATCTATACATGTGCTTCATTGATTACTCAAAGACTTTCAATTGTATTGATCATGACAAATTGTGGAAGTGCCTCAAGGAAATGGGAATCTCATTGCATCTCATCCAGCCCATACAATCATTATATACCGGACAAGAAGCCACCGTAAGAATGCCATATGGTGATACAGACTGGTTCAAGATCAGAAGGGGTGCCCACGGGTGCCCACCAGGGCTGTATCCTTTCACTATCACTTTTCAATCTTTATGCAGAGGTGGTGATGAGGAAAGCAGATTTGAATGAGTCTAACATTGGAGTGAAAATTAGAGGCAGGAACATCAATAATCTTTGATATGCAGATGATACCACGCTGCTCGCAGAAAGTCAGGAAGATCTCGAGCAGCTGCTTCTGAGAGTCAAGCATGAAAGTGCAAAAGTAGGGCTGCTTCTTAATTTCAAGACCAAAATAATGACTACTGCACAGAATACAGAAGTCAAAATAGCGATCAATGGTGAAGAAATTGAGATAGTGGAAGATTTCATATTCCTTGGGTCCAAAATCAACCATAATGGAGACTGCAGTCCTGAAATCAGAAATCGCACAGCCCTTGGACAAGCATTAATGATCAGCACAAAAACATCTGCCTTCAAATTAAATGCAGATTAGTTAGTGCAATTATTTTTCCTATTGTCATATACAGATGTGAAACTTGGAATCTAAAAAAAAACGGACAGAAGGAAGATAGATGCTTTCGAACTGTGGTGTTGGAGACAGCTTTTGCACATTCCATGGACAACAAAACTGTCTTAAACAGAGTCCAACCAAACAAAAATCACACTGGAAGCCCAGATAACCAAACAGAAACTGTCCTTTTTTGGTCATATAATGAGAATCAGCTCCCTTGAGAAGATGATCATGCTGGGGATGGTTAGTGGGAAAACAGTGCAAGGCCGACCAAGGACTCGGTGACTCGACACAATCAAAAGTAACAATGAATTATCTATAACAGAATTGAAGGAGGCTGTGCAGAATAGAGAGGCATGGAGAGCTTTGATCCATAGAGTGACTGAGAGTCAGACATGACTAAACGGATAAGAAGAAAAAGAAGTGCAAGTATTGTGTATTGTGCAAATATTGTGCAGATGCATACTGCTCAGTCATCATGACCATGATATGGCATATCACTAAGAGTCATTTTGTGTCCTGCAATAAGAGTTTTTGCACAATTCCTGTTATTTAATGACTTACTGTAATGACTTTACTTTCCTTCAAACAATGAAATTTTTAATCTTCCATAAGAGTTCATTTTTCAACTTAGGTTAGATTAAACATTCTCTACTTGAGATATTCTCAATATATTGCAAGAAAATAATTAAATTTTTTAGTAGTGTTAAAATTTTTAGTTTAGTAAAATATCCTTATATATAAATAAAAATTATTTGAAAGTATAAAACATGCATGCAAACAATTTACTATAAAAGCATATCATACATACCATCTTGACTCATTAATCTATCTCGTTCAGTTGGCGGCAATAACTCTTGTCGTTCACGTGCACTGACAGGATATCGCTGCAACAAATTTAAACAATGTTGTCTTGAAATTCTTCCAAGTTCAAACACAGCATCAGCTTGAACTATAGTTGAACCTTCTTTCTTATAAACTGTTAAGTAACGATTTGCACCTTTCCTAATTTAAGAGAAGTTATTAAATAATATCCATGTATGCAAAATATACATTATTTCTGTTTTAATATTAGTTATTAAAGATATTTTTACATATATATATTAAATTCATCCTACTCTTCAAAAGTTTGATATTTAATATGAAAGTGATCACTTTTTATTTCATTTTTTTACTTAGATCTCATTCAACATTTCATCAATTGGGGTGCGTGCTGGACGCCAAAGATGCAACTGAACTTTCGGTGAAGATCAAATATTGATTGTTATCATATTAGAAAGCCAGTATATAGCAAAAAAATGATTTGGTTGGCAAGTTGGATATTTTTGAATAGATTATCCCTGAACTTAGTTATGTGTTTATAGATTTGTGCTGAAATTGAGCCTAATCCAGGACTTTACCTCATTCTCTGCAACAAATGTCTCAAGCGGTTATGCAAAAAAGGGATGAGGTAGATCGCACAAGGATAATTCTAGAGAAATACAAAGGGAAAGGCAATCAGAAGTTCTAAGGAGTGAAGAATTTCAACACGAAGAGAAATATTGTAAAAGTAGTTATGAGGGTATGAGAAATTCAAAAATAAATGAATATTTTAAAAAGCTAAAAGACACTGAACCAGAGGTGGAGGAAGTCTCAATATACATTAAAATCCATATACTCATATGACTTAATTCAGGAGAATTTTTTACAACTTAATGCAGAATTACAGCAAATAAAGACAGCATTCAAGTCATTGAAAGAGGAAAATAAATATTTTTGAGGAGAATTAACAAGACTGCAACAGAGAGTAGAAGATATAAAAGTTATATCTAAGAGTCACAGTCAAATAAAAGGTATGTTAGAATTTGAGTTGGATAACTTGGTTAACAAAAGATATAATAAAAATATTGTAATCATAAATTTTCCGCTTATTTCATTGGATTATTTGAGGGAAGTTATTCAATTTATAAAGGTAAAATTAGGAATATCAAATAACTCAATTGAGAGCTTAATTTGTTTGACTAAAAATGAAACAAAACCAACAGTAAAAATTTCAGTAGACTCTCACTATACTAAAAATTTAATTTTAAAGAGTTTTGGAAAAAGAAAGTTAGTTTAGACAAAGAAGAGAAGAAAAAAATAATATTTACAGCAGATATGTGTAAAATATCAAGGTTAAGAAGACAAAAACTCCAACCAATAATTAAACAAGAAAAATTAAAAAGAAATAAAATATTGTTAAGAAAAGACTACTATATAAAAGATAATAAAATGTATACATATGATATTAGTTTGGATAAAATGATTGAATTAAGTGTTTTTTTTTTAAGAAAGAATCAACAGCTACTTCAGAATTAATGACGAATGGATTGACAGGATGTTGAAATATTCAGGGATTACTGGAAAAAACTTTATAGAAAAAATGTAAAAGAATATATAAAATACCACACTATAATCAGTTTTTCAGAGAAATGGATGCTCAAAATGAAAGATAGGTTATATTTAGAACATGAATATTAATTATATAAGAGTATCTAAGGAAAAACAATTAATGTAGATAGAAAATCTTTAAAAGTAAATGAAGGATTGTTGGTTTCATTTGAGAGTTGGTTCCAATACTTTTAAATAATTTTTTTGGACAACTATTTATACAAAGGTAGTTCTAATGCTATATAAACAACCAATAGATAAAACATATGAATAAGGAGCTAATGATGATTAAAAAGTCAATTTAGGAGTTGGTTAATCGTGGTTGTTATAGATGTAATGATATATGTTCAAAAATTCACAATTTTGTTTATGTAAAGAAGCTCAAGAATTATATGATAATTATAACCTCTGTGCATTAGATAAAGTAATAAACATAGAGAGTATGTCTTTTTCACAGAGCAAAGGTCACAGCTATACACAATTTGTATAATTATTTTTAGGATTTATTGTATTGAATGGGATATGTTATGTATGGTTTAACTCATTATAGATATTATCCTATAATAACAAATTAACAAATGAAAAGAGTGTGCAGCATACCTTTTGTGAGAGGTCGGACTTGAAAAAAAAAACCCACAATTTTATTCAAAAATTTTTTGAAAGAAAATTCATTTTTCATTTTGAAAAGGAAATTTATTTAAATCTCAGAAAAAAAATTTCTTCCATTTTATTACTGGAGGATGAGTGTATTTCTCTTCCCAGAGTCATTTCCTTTCCCAGGGAACTCAGAATGTGTCACTGGGAACTACAACTAAAAATTCACTATTAGTGGAAAACGACAAATGTGACTTGGAAATATAAAGAGGAGAACTCAAAGAACAGTCAGGGATCAAGAGTCTGCGAAAGTATTCCATCCTTTCGGCTGTGCCAGCCGAAAGGATTTATCATCATCACTCATCGCCACACACTCCTCCCAAATGTCCTGTGTTCTCCAGGAACACCTATGAAGAACCAACAGATCTCAACTTCTGGTAGACTTTAACTGCCATTCAAGGCAACAGAGACATTCCCAAGGCTCCCCAACTACTCCACAGCCATCTGGAAATCCATACACAGTGCTTCAGGTACTTATGTTCTTGAACATAAAGCAGCAATTAGACTTAATTATAACCAATCACCATGGACAAATCATTGTAAGGAATTCGGATGCACAATTAACGAAAAAAGTGTAAAAATAATCCATAAAGAAAAAGACAGTTACCTACGAAAATTCAAAGAGCATTTCGAAATTGTTAATAAAAGCAAAACCATAAACTTAAATGATGGAATGGAGGTTGGCAAAGTGTGGGAGGAAATGGGAGGAGCTAAAGGGAAAGAAAACAAAAAGAGGGGAAAACGGTCTAAAAATGCCTTAGGGGACACAACATCAACACTGGGCAGATGTAGTTCTAAACTTAAAACAGGTTAATTAACTATTGTTGTAATTTACCATAAAAACAAATGTAATAATTGAATTTACCAATATATAGAAATGTAAAAAACCTGAAGAGGGGTGCAAGTGATACGAAAATATTGCACCTGAAATGCATAGTAAGTAAGAAAATAAAGAATACGAAGATAAGCTATTGTCTCTGATTAAATGCGGTCCAGGCAAAAAAACGGTGGTTATTTCTGTACAATTAACCCATGAAGTTTCATCAATTTTTTGAGGAAATATTTTTTGAAAAACTGATTTTAAAAGGAATTAATAAGATGTTTTAGGACTATAAAAATCATTCACAAATTCAAAACACTTCACATCTTTATTATCCAGCAGTTGATTTTTGTAATATTGTTTCAGTTTTGAAATGGATAAATGGTGTTCTATTTTTATTTAATGTGTATTTCAAAATTAAGTAATATTCAGAATATAATGTTCTACGATCAAATTAGTGATTTGTTGGCAGACATTATGTTAAATTGGTTGGAATAAGTGTTCTTTTTTTGAATTTAAGTTGTGTTATTCAATGAATGACTGTCTGAGGATGAGCATTACATACATCCAAAAGTGTTAGCATGACAAATTGTCAGACAATAAAAATGTGAATGTTTCGAGTTCATAAAATCAAATTATTTTTGTAATAACAACTTTTACACATTAAACTTAAGTTGATGATAACAATTTCTTTTTTCCTCTTATTACTAGGAACTTTTAAACAACGACAAAATATTTCCAAATATTTCAAATTTAAAATATTTACCCTCGACTTTTTGACTTAAGTCCAAGATGCTGACAGTACCGATGAATGTAGGCTCTTTCTGCTGATGTGAGAGAAGAAGGAAATTCAAACTCTAAAAATAAAAAATGGCAAATTATTAGAAATAAAGATTACACATTTATCACTATCAATAGTTTTAATGATTTAGTAATCAAATTTTTAAGAAACTACAGTTACATCATTTAAGATATAACCTAGTAAGTTATAATGGGGGTGCTCTTAAGTCGTCTTGGCTGTTGGTGACTTTTGCTTTGACTTTACTTTTTTATTAATATACTAAATTTATTATCTTTGATACACCGATCAAGTTAAGCTGACAGATATTAAGTAAAACAATATCCTTGAGGCAATTTTTTGTCCTGAATTTTTCTCATATATGTTTCCAAGAATTCCTCTTAGTAATATGTTGCAAGGTCAAAGTGGAAAGAAAAGAGTAAAACACCAATGTTCTACAAGAGATCCAAGAACTAAATGTCCAAAGCTTGAATATTATTTTATAAAAAGAAAATATTTTGGAAGCTGATGGTAAAGGTTTAACTTCCTTGTGGCAGTACCTGGAGTCAACCTTAAGTGCAGTTGTGGTGGAACTGACAACTATTGAAGATAGGCAGCTCACAGGTTTAGAACAGGTTTATCAGGCTTTGTCTTTAGTCTTTTGGTCTTATGTTCAAATATTTCATCATGATTAGATAAACTGGAGCAACAAGGACAACTTTTGCTTTAATGACATTGATGAGTTGCATGCTTTTGCATACTTATTAACACCATGTGGAAAAATTTGATGATGTTTAATTAATTAATTATAGTGTTCCATGAAAATTAGAAATTATTGATTATATGGTTAATTTTATAGGTGATATCTCATGTATACTGTACAGGGAAAAATCAAGTGTTTTATTGTATTCAATTGTCATCTTGAAAAACCCAAAATTCTTTACTTCAGAAATTAAGAATGTTGTTCCAACAAGTTGACAGAGATAGATGGGCAATGTTTAGTTTGATGCTAGATTTGTCTGTCAGTTTGCATTTATGCCGTAAAAAATTTTTCTCTTAGTTAAAAGATTATCGTTCTGTGGGGAAACAAGTCTATTTACATGGCAATGTTTATTTGTAGATGATAAGCTTTATACCTTTTCTATCTCAGAATCCCAGCTTATTGAGCTTCCTCTTTTTTATTTTAAACTTATCTCATATATCAGTCTATCTGATGAGTCTCTACAGCACGCAACATCCCACTGGGACTCGACTTGGATGTGGGTTGAGCTGTCAATTAGTTTCCTTATCTTTCTGGAATTGTAATGGATTTAGTTCTAAAAGCTTGGTGATCTTGAGTTTTATGTGTAACTGCCCAGACCTGTTCTGTATGGGTTTAGTGGAGACCTGGTTGCTTTCATCTGAGGAGGTTTTTCTTAGAAAGTTATTGTCAGCCAATTGGAATTTATGTGCTACCGGCAGAAAACCTATGGGCCCAGAAAGACCTAATGGTGATATTCTTTTCTTCTTTAATGAATCCGAAAGTTGAGTTATTGAGTTAAATAGTTAAATTGAGTTAAATAGTTGAGCTATTAGATTTTAACCCAGATATACTTGTGGTTAGTCTAACTCATTCAAACATTTTTGCTTCTCAATCCATCTCAATACTGATTATTTATGCTAGATCTCGAAAACGGCAATACATTCATCTTGACTTGTTCTCTAATATTTGGAAACTTGATCTCCATTGTTCAATAGAGTTGTCATTATGGATAATTTTAATGTACATGTCAGTTTATGTAGTTGACATTTTTTTTAATTAATACAGCATCACCACATATTTACGATCCAAGGTGATCAAAGAACCTAAAAGTTGACACTAATGGCAGATTGTTCTTACAGTGGTTAATTGGAAACAACCTTATTCTTCTCAATGGGCAAACCAGAGGAGATTATTCTGATGAATTGACTTTTCTCTTGAGTATTGATAGTTTGGTTATTGACTTTGTGATCATTTCTCAAAGCACATGTCACTTAATTGATTGCTGAAAATTGAAAGTCTGCTGTTATTGGATCACTTCCCTGTGACCTTGTATTTGTCTGGTAGTTCTGAATGCTTTTTGGATGGAAAGACCAATTTCTCTGGGACTCACTTTGTTTGGAATGAGTCCAAGATAGGTGCATTTGTTGATACTGTTAAGAAACGTTTTTAGAATAGGAGATTTGCTAATGAATTGGTAGATGATTTTTATAATGTAGTAATTGCTGATTTGTGTTTTTTGGTAAGAAAGCTTGGCATTTTAAGAGAGGGAGTTAGTGTTAATAATGTACATTGTTCTCCCTGGGTTGACAAATCTTGTCTCAAACTTAAGAGAGAGCAGAATCACAACGTTCATATATTTTGAATATCAGGTAGCCAGACTGATCTTGTCTCTTTTAAATTTGAATAAAGAAGCTAGTTCATTTATCAAGGCTAAAAAATGGAAATTTTTGGGTAATTTTACTAGGAATTTGGTAAACATTAAAGATGCCAGGACTTTTTGGCTATATTTTAGCTCATTTCATATGACAAAATTCACAACCAATCATGTTATTTCCTTGGATGCCTGGTATGACTTTTTTAAACAGTTATTCAGTATTAAGAGTTTGATCTCAATTGACATCTGATTCTGTCTGGAACCCTGTTTGTGTAGGATTCCTTTTTAGACACTCCAATTTTACCATCAGAAGTGAGCCCTTGCTATTCAAGGTATGCATTTATGCTCTGCTCCAGGGATAATATCCCTCTTTCTTTAATAAATTATTCAGGGAAACTGTTAATTCATATTTTGACAGACTTGTTTAATCAGATTTATGAATCTGAAGCCTTGGTTAGAAGTTAAGATCAAGATGATTCATAAGAGAGGGCCAGAAGACAACCCTGCCAACTTTCAATCAATCTTGATGTTACTCACAGTCTGGAAAATTTTTACACCAATTTTGGCAAAAAGATTGGGAAAATGGTTGACAGATAGGAAATTGATACAGTCAGTGAGTGACCTTTAATGGTGTAGCAGCCTTATTTCCAAGGACCCCGCATGACCCAGGACCCATTAAAAATTTACTTTAACTTTAATATTGTTATTTAAGTGCCTGAGGATGTGATGTATGAGATGCACAAGTTTAATGATGCTATCAGACCTGGCTATCCAGTGTAAAGCTACCTTACTATTCAAGCATATGAGGTAGTGTACAAAGCATCACTTGTCCTATCTATAATGTTGATCAAACTCATATAAATGTTCCTGCCTGAGCAATTGAACAATTACAGACACTGTAAGAGTTCTACAGAAAACAAAACATGTCACAATTACACAAAATAGTAACTCTTTCAGGCAAACAATACACCATTAAATTTACACAACTATAATCTACAGTAGATCAAACAGAATACACAAAGTGCACCAGTGTTTCCACTGCTGATCACCACTTCTGCAATTTATGAAAATTTTGAAGAAATGGTGATAACAATTCAAAATTCGTTACAAAAGTGGCAAAAGTATTTGTTGCCCTGGAAACAAAACCATATGTATGTTAGTGCATGGAGGAAGAGTCAAGAATAAAATTTTCTTGATATATTTGTTTTTTCTTTATGATTCATTTATGTAGTTACATAAGACACTTATAAGTATATATACTACTGCACAGGTACAGTACCTGAAGTACACAGGTAATTGAGTTTCTGGGGACATGCAAGATTTGAAAGATTTCATGTACCAGTCGACCCCCTATAACACTGTTGTAAATTCTGTTTTATAAGAATTCCATGTTGTACGAGTCACTTAGATTTTACAAATATGTGTGCCAGGCTGTGAATGGCTCACGTATTTGTAAAATCTAATTGACTCGTACAACATGGAATTCTTATAAAACGGAATTATCAACAGTGTTATAGGGGGGTCAACTGTACAATATGAAAAATTATAAACAAGCACAATGATTTAAAAAAAACTATTAATAAATGTTTTCCATAAATTAATTTATCTAACTGCTCTTAATTGAATATTTTTTTCAAATGAATTATCACTTCCAATAAAAGCACCATCACCTGTAATCCAGTTAAAATGAACAAATTTATTATAAAAACAAACATTTTCAACTATTTTTAACAGCCATCTTCTATCAACTTTTAGCAGCAGGAAGATGGCTGTTAAAAAACAGTTGAAAATTTGTTCATTTTAACTGCATTACAGGTGATAGTTGGTGCTTTTATTGTAATCTCATCCAATTTTGCGGTATCTTTTAATTATTGTTTCCATTTTTAAAAGGTTAATTTGATTAATTTTGCAAATTAAATTTTTTAAATAGCCGAAATTGTTAATTTCAGAAAGACAGAAAGATATCTTTTTAGAGTTGCTGAATTATTAAAAGTTTAAAATAAGATGTTTTATTATGCAAAAAAAAATGTATCCTGTTATTAATCCTTTCAGCCTGCTTTTTTTATTAATTGATGTTATTTTTCCTTTTACAAATTGTTAAATTAATACTGTGCCATGGAAATGTGTTGAAAAAAAATCAATGCTTTCTGTACTTATTTTTTATTTAATTTTTTTCTTTTCTCTGCTTCCAATATGTTATCCAATTTTATATCTTAGATACATTTATGATATCTTAATAGCTTGGAAAGGTTCCTTTAAAGAGTTGTCGACTTTTGTTAAATTTCTGTTAGTTGTTTACCCCTCCATCTCATTCTCTATTGAGAAAGAGTAAGACAGAAAACTTGTATTTTTAAATCTAGCTTACATGGAACCACTACTCATCAAGCTCACACTACACACCACAAATTCATCTCCATATATCATACCAGCTTCTTTCTTCCAGCCTTCTGGATATGTAAATGTGGCTATATTCACTCTCGTTCTCAGGACCATACTTGTACCACTTCAACTTCAGCTCTGATATGGAATGCTGCAAATAGTAACTATTGTTGTAGACAATGCTGAGTATACAATTTTCAAGTTCAAATTTATCAACAACCTGGTCTGCAGTTCTCTCTTCCTGCTCACTGTCCTCCATTCCAATGACAAAAACAAGAAGCTAATATTTGCAAAATCTCCTATTCCATACTTAGGGTTTATTACTTTATGAATAGTTCAAGCTTACAAGAGAGACAGGGTTACACCATCAAACCTTAGCTGTCACTCTGAAGAATTCTATGTAATGATAAGGATTTTCTTTTTGGAGAAGTCTAGAGTTTATAAAGTCCTATTACACAAAGTGTAAATGGGAACAAAAATCTTTTACATAGGTGTACAGCTAGAAAGTTATTAAACTGTTTAAATAAACACCAGGACGATGATAAAAATAACAATATTCAATTGACCTTGCAAGAAACATATTAGAAAATAATTTTACACCATTATGGGATCCTACTTCAATTTTTAAGAGATGGTTAGAATGCAGAACTCTGTTCATCTGGAGTCAATATACATATATTTATTAAAACCCTATAACTCTCACTCCTGAAATTCCTAATATATTGATAACACTTCACAAAAACTTAAAACCTTAATTTTTTCTAGGATTTATTTTTGTTTTAAGTTTATTTTGATTTTATTTTACTTAAACTTATAATGTATTTTATCTTAGCTAACCATTTTTATACTTTATTTAATTTCTTTAATCACATTTTATAAATTGTGAACATACTGTACTTGTTTTAAATTTAAATCAAAACTTTATAGCACACATTCAAATTCAAACACATTTAGGATAAAGAAAGGTTCTAGACTAAATGTGTTAGAATTTTAACAATTAAATAAAAAAAAACCACTATTTGAATTTTGTATATTCTTTCTTTGCTTGAGGATGACGTTTTGAAATGTCAAAAGTATTTTTAAAATTTAATGCCAATAGACAGTAGATTTTCTTCCTTATTTTATTACTAATCTTTATACACCAAATGCTTTCACACTTGTGCTGCATTGTCAAGGTTCATAACATAACAAAAATAAATGAAACAAAAATGCCAAAAGATAAAACAATCTCTTCTCTCCATATCCTTTCCTTTAACTTTTACAATTATTACATTAAAAAAAATCAAACTTGCACTATAATTTTTAATTTTTTTTTGCTTTTTTTAAAACTGATGCTAATTCATTTATGAAGCTTCACTAGTATCACATTCTGAAAACATTACAACACAAATTCCATAATTTAAGTGTTAACTTAAATATAGTCAAAACACATCTAATCATCAGAAATCTTGCTTTTAAATTTAAAAAATTTGTGTAAATATAATACAAATTAAAAAAGGATTCTATTTACCTTTCTGTTCTTCTTTCAGACGAAATTTCTGAAGAATTAAAGTAACTGCAATCTGCAATTCTTCACCAACACATATTTTTTTCCTTTCTTTCTTTGTCATATTTTATACCTGATTCGTTAAAATAAAAATATTTGTAGAATTAGCCGACATACAGATTTTAAAAATCAATAAAAGTTTTAATAAATATTTAGAGAATTTCAAATATAATTCAAAGACTAGCCACCCTTTACAAATCTCCCCGTAAAGAGAAGCTAGTTTTCCGTCGCAGTTAACCGCTTTATACGCAGCATCACGGGTGCAAGCGCAGAAGGTAACGGTAGCAGCGAAGGAACGAAGACAAATTAGACCTCCGACGACGTTCGGAGAGTAGCCGCGTCGTCCGGCATTCGGGACAACGGTCGGGAGTTCGACCCCTGCAAACGGACCACGATTAACGGTAGACGCACGGCGTCGTCGTCGGCTCGGAGTCATCCAGATTAATAGTTATTTATATTTTATTTCTCTCCGCCCCATTTTTGTTCCGACAGCATACCGTAACTTTTCAAAAAGATATTTAAATTTTCCCACAGCCTTTTGGAGTAGGGGCTGGAAATCGCATTTACCAGTAAACGAGGACAAGAAGAGGGGTTTAAACTTTAACCAAAATACGACACACGGTTTACGGACAAAGTCTACGAAGTCAAAACGACAAATTTGTAGAAATAACTCATTCAAATAAAAATACACATCCAGATAAATTAAAGGTATAGAATGAAATTAAATCAATTGGCTTTTTTTAATCTCATCGAAGTTAACGTACCGCTTTACATTTTTAAAAATTTGGTTTTATGACATACTAACTATAAATTTATCATCAAACCACTGTCAATTACAGAAAAAAATAAAACGTTTACAAAACGAAACCTAAAATACTTTGGCTTAAGTTATCAAGAGTCTACCACGAGCATTATAATCGCTATGACATGTATCAAAATTCATAAATGAAGAAGACATTTAAGAATAAATATTTTACCGTCTTCTGCGATATATTTTCTATTACACAAAATGTCAATTCGGCCTCACTCGCCGTTTACAAACATATACATAAACATTCTCGCTTATACGGTGCGCCCTCTGGCTGTAACAATTGAAAATAAATTTTACAAGCGCGATTCGTCTGAAAATAATAAATTCCAGAGGCTACAATTCTTTTTTATTTCTGTATCGGGATTAATATGGAGGTTATTGCGTAATCGATAAATAAGATGTAACTTAAATGTTGTATAAGTTATATATCCCTGTCGTCTTCTTCATTTATTTTCCAAGGTTCTATTTATGAATCTTGATACATGGCATAGCAATTGTAATGCTCGTGGTAGACTCTTGATATTTTAAGCCAAAGTATTTTAGGTTTCGTTTTGTAAACGTTTTATTCCAGTAGTTCATTTAATAAATCATAACGTTTTCGACTTAATACAATAGACCTTCCTCGGTGAATTTACACCATTTAAATAAAAGAACAAGAATATCGAATTCGACGAAATAATTTAAAAATAAAGAGGTGCTCTAAAGAGAACACTATCATAGAAGGAAAAAAATAAAGTAACAAAGACTTTTATGCCGTAGGCAAGGTGTTCGCATCCTTTTAGTTGATACAAAATAATTTTTGGTCGGCTTTAGAAATTTCCAACATTTCTAATAACCTAATAGTTTTAACAAAACTGTGTCTAATACATTTACATCTGAAGCTGGTGTAAGACAAGGAGGCATTCTTCTCCTTTACTCGTTAATGCTTATTCTGGAATAATCACTAGAAAGGTATTAGATAACTGGGACGGAGCATTTCCATCGGGACCGTAAAGGTAACAACCTGAGATACGCTGACGATACACGTATTATAGCATCCAGTGAATCAGAACTTGAATATATTATGGAACGTTTTGAAACTGAGAGCAGGGAATATGGATTGCTGAAGTAGAACGAAAATTATGATAATTGATCATTCCTTGACACAGACTAAGGAAATTGCAGGCTATAAGGTGGTGAATGAATTTGTTTACCTTGGATCACTTCTTACGAATAAAGGAAGATGCGATAATGAAATTAAACGCAGAATTTGCCTCGCTCGCAATGCAACCTCTAAATTATTTAGAATTTAGAAAGATTCTGCAGTCACTATTTTTAAATTAAACTAAAGCTCATAAGAACGCTTATTTTTCCGATTGCCACTTATGCCTCGGAAACCTGGACCATAAATGCCACTTCTCGGAAGAAACTTGATTCCTTTGAAACACGGACATATAGAAAAATGCTGAGAATCTGTTGGACGGAGCACCGAACAAATTGCTCCATCCTACATCAACTGAAAATCACAATATGTCTTACCACTAAAATATACCAATCCTACCTTTCGCTTCTTGGGACATATTTCCAGACGCAAAAATGGATTTGAGAAACATTTTCTAGAAGGGAAGATCAATGGCAAACGCCCTAGAGGTAGATGTCAGATTAGGTGGGCGGATCGAGTAATGATGATTACAATGTATGAAGCCATCCATATGGCACGACACTGTGAGCAGTCAAAAGATACAATTAAAGCCGTCAATTCGTAATATCACCACGCCCTCTAAAGGTCATAGGACTAAGAAGAATAATGTTAGGGTTCTTAGCCGGTCTAACGATTCTGGCCTCATCTCACTGTATTTGTGTACTGTATCAGGTTCGGCGGCATAAGCCGCTAAGGCGGTGGAGTGGAGATTCTTATTCACAGTGTATTTATGTTCCTCGATTCTTTTTCCAAGGTACTGTACGCCTGGTAGCTCCCACGTGTGTTATTCTTGTCAAAACGCTGCTCGTCAGTTGGAATCGTGTAAACACCGGAAGAGCTGTTATGGCCTACAGGGTCCACGTCGTTACGTAAGATTCCAACGACCGTCGGATTACGGTTAGCCTATATAGAGTGCTTAAATTGCTCTTATCGGCTAGTTCTTTATGTATTCGTCCAAACATGGGAAAATAATAGAGAGGTTGCGGCCGACGTTTTCAACGCGAAAACGTGTACGGCGGATGTTCAGTGCCGCCTTCCTGTAAGCCTAGAAGTTTGAAAATGGCGTTTGGAACGTCGAGCATGATTCCACTGACGTCTCAAACGCCATTGTCAAACTTCTAGGCTTACAGGAAGGCGGCGCTGAACGTCCGACGTACACGTTTTCGCGTTGAAAACGTCGGCCGCAACCTCTCTAATGTAACGCAATTCTCCTCTTAGATGTCGGTTGGGAAGACGCAGCTCTTGTGTTTTTAAAGGCGCTAATGAATTTACCTATCAAAGTAGTAGGAAATCCATTATTTTTCAACTTTTTAGAATCAAAAGTTTTTAAAGCCAGGAGTTTTTGAGTCGATAAAATCAGAACTTTTTCAAAATTAAAATGTTTTTTCTGCTTATCGACGAAATTACAAATTTAGCTGAAATTATTCTTCTACGGAAATCATATAACCCAACTAGTTTATTACAGTACTTTAAAATGATTTTGACTAACGTCGGTATATTTTGCGCAACGAGATAAGTAAATATTCATCGGTAAATTGTGCCTTTTTTAGTTCTCGTTTCCGTCCGCTGGTTCTTTTCGTGGCTAACGAGATACGAGGCACAACTTTTTTTTTTAACTATTTCCGCCCCGTGGGCACTAAGAAGGCCTCTTATAGCGGGACCATTATGGGTTGGGCCAGGTCCACAATGGGGCGGCCGGGTGGTGAGGAACGGCGCCCAGACATATACGGACGGACAACTCCTCGAAAAATTCCTGGGGATTTAACGACCCGGGTCCCCCAGAGCGGTAGGATGTCACCTCGACCGCCCGGCCATCCGACCGTCAAGGCACGACACATCCAGGACAAACCACCCGTCAAAAATGTTCCGCGATTTCTCGTTGGGATTGCCCGGCGCGGTCTCGACCATTTGGCCTTGCGGTAAATAGTGTCATTATATAGTGTTTACAGAGGATAGACAAACGGAAGGTCGAGCGAGAACGTATAGAGAAATTTCTGTCCTCGAAAGAATTCGGACGGGCGTCGGCCGGTTGGCTCGGGCAAACCGAGTTAATATATTCACGGCCAACGTTGGCTCGGAGCGAGGTGGCGCCAACAACTCACTGCCGCCGACAGATGGCGAAGGGGTTATCCCGGTGATCCGATTACCTTATCCTACCAGGCGTATCTTTTCTCCGGTCCGTCCTTTCTCGGTAAGTTTTTCCACCTGTTGTTTGTTAAATACGAATGCGCTCCGCGACCACCGAGCCATCGTCGATCGTCGTCCGGCTGCGCGCCGTTGCATCTGCGCCGATACTTCCGGAGAAGAGTCGTTCGTCCTACCAAAACAAACTCGTAACGTGTATCACACATTAGGACTTTGGATAAGATAAACGAATGGCACGCCCGCGACGTTATCCGTTCATTTTATCCAGAAAATCCAAGAAAAATGCCCGATGAACTGTAAATAATAAATTTATTTTACGAGAAATGATGGCGTGCTCCCTCTGGGCAATTTTTGCTTCGTTACGACTCGCCGTTATAAAATTTACCATTACATTTATATTGTATACGTTATAATTATTACGTTTTATTTCGAAAAAGACGAAATGATTTTGCAGAAGTATATCGAATCGGGAAGTTTTCAAATCGTTATCTTTTCCATCGTGACTGATTATCGCCGTGCTACGATTACGATTTGATCTCGACACAATGTTTAAAATTACTTATAACGTCATAATTACAATTTTGCGCTTCGTATTCTGACTCTACGAAAAACTTTTCTTCCGAATATATTTTTGGCAAGTTTTTAAAATCGTCCTCTTCGTTCGCCCGCGTGTAATTCCGTCCGAGTGGGTGATAGATTTCTTCCGGTGGTGTGCGATTAAGGTTACCGTAACCGTCGAAGGCAAAACACGGACTGATTGGCATTAAGCGTACTCGGACGCCGAGGCAAAATAAAAGGAATTTGTATTTTTTCGTCTAGTAAACGTGGACGTATACGGTTTCCATTTATGCTTTCCTTCGAAGCACGGAATGTGATTTTACGTGTGAGAAAACTATTTTACCGCTTGGACGATAAGTATTGTCGAATTAAATTGTTACCGACGTCGCGTGTTCTCCCGACTGCGGAGTCGTTGGGTTTGCTTGCCTGGTGTCGTCGCCTGGCCGACGAATGCGATAACGATCGTCGAATATTTAGCGCTCGTCGGATTTAAATCCGAGCGATTGCGATTTAACCGTCGACTGTGCCGTCGGTCGAAAAGTGCGGACGTTTTCTTTATTTTAATTCTTTAATCCGTAGCGTACTTAGAATAAAGTGCACTACGGATGAGGACGGAATCTTTAGAGTACGGACCGTCCGTACCGACTACCGTGGACGAAACGTGGTGCGGCCACCCCGTGTGCTGCGGATGAAATGTCGACGGTGCCTCGACATTTTAAAAATTAGAACTAAAAAACTAGTTGAGATGCTTTTTGTAATATGCCGTGGAGAATTTTACTCGAACGAAACGGTCTTCTTGTCGCGATGTATTCGAAATTAGCGATTTCTCCAAATATTTGGCGCCGTTTAGAATGTGTTGCGGTTTGGAGATATTTAATGATGATCTGCGCGGTCCCGCGCTCGAGACCCGAACGATTCTTCGACCCGACGGGATGCTTTCCGGACTTCGGTGTCGGGATCGGAGGTACAGATGCCGCCGCCAAAGTCTACTGTAAACTGGACCGTCAACTGTTTTTTGTTCCGGCAACCCGTTCTTAACGATGGTAAATTTTATGGAAAATTACATTAATTATAAATAATATGAGTTTGTCGACTATTGTAATTTGATGTGGATAACCCGTAGCGGTATATAACCTATACCGGAGAATGTCCCTATGCAGAATCTTTGATTAGATAAAAAGGTTAATGAGTTAAAATGATAAAGATTGGCAGACAATGAAAGAGAAAATAAGATAGTGATAATTTTTGCATAACGTTGTCTTTGTGGGTCGTGAAAACGTACTAAAATGAATATAAAATTTTTGCACAATTCAAACTACCGCGTGTCTTGTGTGTCCGAAGTGGCCGGCGAGAGAGTGACACTTTTCGGCATGCATTTACCGGGTCTTTTTGTCGATCTTTCTCGGTTGCCACTACAATATGTAATTATATACAAAATCAATTAAGGTATTACTTGATATACTGATTTTTTTTCAATTATTTTGACTCAAATTTATGTTCTGTAAATATTTATGTAACAATACTATATTTGTTGAATTAATTATTCATTTTAAATACTTTTTATATTATGAAATATTAAATGTTCTATTTTATTTTTACAGAATAATCTTTAAGACAATGAGTTGCAAGAGATTCCTTTCTTTCATCACTGTAGAACCTGCACTGTTCCTTTATATGCTTGCTATATTTTTAGAAAGTAGTGTATTGCAAGATTTGATTTCGACAAAGATATGTATCAAACAAACTAATTTTAGTGAAACGTTATGTAGAGGTCTAGAAAATGATACGTTTTATAAAAATTTGACTAAAAACAAAATTTATGAAGAAGAAAGAACAATGTGGATAACTTATAACAATGCTATACTTTATGGTTTAAATTTAGTTGTTGCAAGTTACATGGGATCCTGGAGTGATAAATTTAGTAGAAAATTAGTAATGTTAATTCCACCAATTAATTCATTTCTTGCATGTATAAATTTTATAATCATTTCTAATTACTTATATTCGAGAATGGAACTTATTTTTATTAGTAGTATTTTATCTGGTTTATCGGGTGGAACTGTTGCTTTTATAGGTTCTTGTTTTGGTTACCTCTCAAATATCACAACCAAAGAAACAAGAAATAAAAGAATAGCCTTTACTGAAGCCATGCTTATTATTGGTGGCACGGTGGGATTTTATATAGGTGGTGGAATGTTGAAACGTACAAATTATGTTGATATATTTATACTTGAACTGTTCATTCATTGTCTTTCTGTGATATATATAATATTTTTTATTAAGGAATTAAAACACGATGACAAAATACAAAGTGGAAATTTGTGCACAAAATTTTTTTCTGTTAAACATATTATAGAAATGTTCTCTATGATATTCCGACGAAGAGAAGACAATAAGCGTTGTTATATAGTATTGTCTCTGATTGCTACAATTTTAGTATATTATGGTCTAACAGGTTAGTATTAGAATTAATTATGTTTTTATTTTAATCAAGAGATTATCATTATTTTAGTCATTTTTTAATTCAGAGTTGTCAACCTTCAGGAAAAGAAAGTCCTGTAAGATTTGGAGAAAAATGCTGATTTCAAAAAATAAATGCCAGCCATCACAAAATCATAATTGATACATATATTGGATACAATATTGCACAACTTTTACAATATACAAAATTAATTATTTTTCACTTCTTCATGTTGACCAGAATGATGTCACTATGCTTCACCTATTAGCTATTTGTGTTCAAACCATGATCTATAGATAACCATATGGCTATGTCACTTCCTTTGTTTGCCTAAAATCAATAAGATGCCTTGTATTGACACTAGTAGCGCTTCAATTCCATGTCACCCAATTGTTGTAATATATATGCAAGAAAAAATGATTTTATTATCTAGGTGTTTTTTGCCATTTTCTCAATGTAATTTAACTAAGGTGAATGCAGATTACTACAGTAAGTACAATATTTCTATCTAAAAGTACAAACAATGTAAATTCATATTTTATTTTAGTTGAAATTGAGAATGATGCCCAGCTGTTTTGAATCTGGTTGTAACTCAAGCTACACAGTATAAAAAGGTGATGAAAAACCTGAAAAAAAGCATTTTTGAAGTCAGATTGATTGAGTAAATCTGCAGAATCATCACAATTTGATCTAAAGTTAACAACAAAGTCAAGTACATGCAACTTTCATTTTGATGATAGGTTTTTGAAAACATTTAAGCACATATGCACATTTTGAAAACATTTAAGCACACTATAATGTTGTTGAGATTCCTCATGGGAGGTGGGATTTATTATTCGATTCTACTCTTACTAAAGGCCCATTTGTTATAGCCTGAAGAAGAGCCCAGGAGGGGCGACGAAAACGTTCGCAATTCTAAAAATAGAAGCACTCCGGTTAAAGGTTTGAGGAGTAGTTTGTTTTATTTTACTACTCTTATTATATTTTATAATATGTCTTTTTACTTATGTAACAAGTTACTTGTTACATAAGTAAAACAACACATTATACTTATTACCTACTAAAAAACTTCACCATGAAAACAAAAATGCAATCAAATCTGAATCATTACAATACAACCCAGTTAAATTACCACATATTGATATAACAGGTAAATTTTCCCATGACATTTATAAAGTTGATTAATTCCTTTTAATTTTTTTAGTAACTGAATCATCACATGGAAGCACATGTCAAATGAAATTAGATTTTTGTTTCAGCACATGCAAGAGTAGTTCATCAGGAAATTCTTAAGCTACTACCTCTACATTTAGCCTATTGAGAAGTATATTACTTGAGCATAAAACATAGAAAAATAACAAAAAATAATTATTAAAAGAGAGTGCTCCTGTTATTCTAATATGAGTTAGTACTCTTTTGATTAATAGGAAAGATCTAAACTGTTGTAGGCCTGAAGAAAGGTAGTAGCCTGATGTGAGGTTACCAAATTGTGAACCCAAGTCAGGATGGAAGAGAGGTCAGATTCATGTGTTAGTGTGACAGATACTGAGACAGACTCAATGGTTACAAAATATTCGTCCCAATTTATTGATTATTATTCCCTGGTTTTCCCAAATTTTATCAGTTCTACAAGCATCAGAGCCAAGTATTAAGTTCTTGGTTCTGATACTTATTCCATTCTCACTCGAGACTTACCTTGTTTATTTTGTACAGTAGAACCTCAAAAACTCGGCTCTCGATAACCCGGCACTCCGGATAACTCGGCCACACCCTGGCAGGGCAAAAAAATGCTTAGTTAATTAATTTTCATTATAGATAGCTTCATAAAAGTATAAAAGTTCTCATAAAGTATTTTTCTGGGGTCTGTCTTATCAGGTAAATTACTGTACACAGTGTATTCATTAATTTTCATTTTCATGTAGTAAAGGCTCTATGCCTTCATAAAGGACATACTTTTCCTTTGTTTAAGGGTATTTGGGCAGTTTATTCTCTGTTTTATTCTCAAGTAAGCAATACATACAAGTACAGTATTTTCTGAGGAAACACTCGTACTTCTTTTTTTTAACCCCATTCCCGATAACCCGGCATTTTCACAAACTCGGCCACCCTTCGGTCCACATTAGGCCGAGTTTTCGAGGTTCTACTGTATTATCACAACAGATTTTGTTTAATGAATTCCTTTCTGTAATAAGCATTCTTAAGCTCATTTAATGAGGGATTTGGAACCTGTGTGGAGAGACTGAAAGATTCACTACCTAAAATGCATCACCAATAAATTTTTTGAAAGCTTTAATCAGCCATCACTCTTTGTCTCTTATTACTAGATATGAAACCAACACTAGTCTCCAGCTTGTTTTATTTAAGCTTGATTGAAAATAATATTACATCTGCCCCTTTGAAGCAATACACCTTTAGAGTTATTTTATTTTAAAATAAATACCTTTATTTTGTTTTTTCTTAATTTGTTTAAAAATTATTATTAATTTTTGCTATTTTGTTTTTTTCTTAACACCTATATCAATGGAGCATGCCATTGACTGCATAATAATAATTTTTTAACAAGGAATTATTTATTGTGACAGGATCACAATGCCGGGCTGCAATTTTTAATCATATTTTTAATTTATTTAATTTAAAGTATATGCTTTCCACCTCAAATTAGTACTGAATGTCTTGCTTCTGTACATCATACTTTTCCTTTAACAATAGAGACATTTAAATCATCTATTAACTGCTTTCGGAGGAAAGTTTTGAATTGAAATAACATGACTTGCATTGGAAGTTCATATATAGATAATCGGGGTCTCCTGCCCCTAAGTTTTCCATATCTGGTCTCAGATTTCATTTACTCTGTTCTCAAGATTAAGGAAAGATATGAATGGACAGATGGACAACAGTGGGAATTTATAGGTCTACAATTTTTTCAAATTGCAGCCCAATAATTTTTTGTTCTGATATTTATTCTACAAAAGAAAATAGTAGGAAATAATCATAGAAACAATTCATAAAGTCTTGTAGTTAATAATTCATTTTGTTGTTCTGGAAAAATAAATACAATACTTTATTAATAAGTATGATTGGAGGAAAATCAGCTAAATATGATCAAATGCCATCTACTAGCAGAAAGTGACATATTATCAATTTTACAACTGACATGACCATTGTTATTTATAGATCATGGTTCAAATTACAGAAGCTACTTGCTGACAAAATAACCACTTGAGGGTGCACAGTGCAGTAAATGTTGCCAACTTAACAGTTTTTGCACAAGATTTAGGTGGAGTTTTATGATACTGGTGCAAAAAATATGTTGATAATGCAGATGCATTAAATCAGTGTCTTTTAAACTAATTTAAAGCAAATTTATCATTTTGTAAAATTTGACCACTAATTTTTGAAAACTTTTGACAACATAGAAATAATGCAATGCTGCTGGCAAAGTACAAAACCACTGGTAGCTTTCATTAAATGCTGACGGTTGACAACTTTGTGAATGCTATTGTAAATAAGAATAAATTTAGTAATTCTAAGTGTTATTTTATTAAAAATACTTTTATTTTCTTTTTAGTTCAAATTGCTTTGTTATATTTATTTGTGACAAGTAAGCCATTGCAATGGAATCAAGAATTATATAGTTATTTTTCTGGAGAAAATTTTGCTATTAGTGGAACTGCACTGCTTATTGGTTTGCCAGCAGCTTACCATTTTTGTAAAATTAAAGATACCACTGCAGGAATAATGGGTGTTTCATCTAGAATGATTGGTTTAATATTTCTTGGATTATCATATACCAAAGAAATGATGTTTATAAGTAAGTTTTCATTTATATTATAACAACTGAGCTCAGATCTGTAAATCCAAATATCTAAAGATTACTTCAATCAATAATTCTGCTGCACTTTAATCATCAAAATTAGTTTAAATGATTGAAGTACAGCCAAAATATAGAGTGAAGTAATCTGGCTCTTCTTAGATATTTAATATGCTCTAATTACATAATGAACAATTGAAACTCCTAAAACTCACAATTTCATTATTGAGTAACATTATTGAAAACATGCTTTTTTGAAATGATATAAATTTTACACAGTATTATTATAAGTTGTCAAAGTAGGGAACATTTAATAATAATGTTTATATTTCAGTAAATCCCCAAAACTGGGATCATATAAACACAGACAACCTAAGCAATAACAACAATTATGTAATTAATAAATAAAGAAAATATTTACTGATGTTTTCATCTATTTACATACCTCTAAGTAAAACAGACACTGATGCTGAACCTTATGTGTATTTTACTTATAGAGGTTTATGACTTTTAAAGTTGCATCCTGGAATTCTGTAAATATTTTAATTGTAAAGTAGTTTATTTTTTGATTTGAACTTTTCATTTGTACTGAAGAGGGATACAATAATACTGGTATTCATAATACATATATAAATGCAAATATAAGGATGGTTTACTAAGGTTTGTTATTGTTCATTGTGTGAAACTATATGACTGTTAAAAATCAGAATAAGAAGAGACTTTGGATCAGAATTTAAGTGACATTAAAAAAGTCCTACAAGACTTTAATTGTTTTTTAAACAAATAAATAGAATACTGTGGAATTATAGCAATTGTAATAATGGAAATGATCTGCTTCTGACACAATAAAGTGCTATAAATTAAGACACTTGGCAGTTTTTCTCATCTTTATTTAGTTGATACGTGTGAAAAATTTACACATTTCGGGCTCCTAAGCCCCTCTTCAGCCAACTAAAATATTAAAAAAGCATACAACACATATATAGAAAAAATACATAGGTTTTGTACAGTTTATAAAATTATCGTGATCAAAAACATACCTATGCATACAAGTTTTATAAATTAAAGTGACATCAGCTTATTCTTAATACTTTCAGCCAACTAAAACATTAAAAGAGTATACAATACATATATATAAAATTATACACAACTTTTAGATCAAAATAGTTTTATAATTTCTGCAAAACATACCTTGGATATAACTATTACTAAAGTGGTACACAGTTGATTATACTTTCCACTCATAAATCCATTTTGTAAATTCTTACTTCCTTTGATACACATTCACAAATTTACATATTTACATATCTGGCATCTATTGCAATTTTACAATTTTATATGATTGGCAATTTATTTAACATTTTAATATTTAATATTATAAATTATTACATGGACCTCAGTAATAATACAATATCTCAAAGGTGGTAAACACGATTAACAGTTAATATAAATTTACATATTATCTGCCATCTATTACAATTTTAGAGTTGTATACCATTGTTAACTTATTTAATAGTTCAATATTTATTATTATAAATTAGCACATTGATTACAATAATAACACAATTTTGAAGCTGATGAATTAATATAAAATTTTTAAACAATTTTCACTTACAGAAATGCTAGGATTTTTATTTATACTATTTTGATTTTTGATTATTTCTATACTTTCTTTAAATTTTCTTTTATATGTATCTTTTTCTCTGTGTAAAATATCTATATTATTTTTATCTATATTACAATTATTTAAAAGGCAGTGTTCATGAAAGGCAGAATTTGAAATATCGAAGATTAAATTCTGCCTTTCATTATTATAAGGGAGTAAGAAGCCAATGCTGTAGTGGAAAGACCTTTTTGAATGGAGTATTTATGTTCCTTGATCCTTGTTTTAAGACAATGTGAGGTAGCACCAATATATTTGCAAGGATGGTTAGACATCACGTTTCAGCATGGCTGATTAAGAACTAAGGTATTCCGTAAGACCTCATAAGCTCCATTTTTCATCCATGCAAAATCTCATGATTCTTTTGGTTACAAGATCTCAGCTTTTAAGGCCCTAGTAAGGAAGGGTTACACCCATTATTCAAATGCAGAAGATAGGATAATGAAACTGGAATATATTTCAAGTGTAGCTAGGCAGCACGGCTACCCTACACACCTAATTAATGATCTGGTTGCATGTCGGGAACAAGCACTTTTGAGAGACAAGTCCTTTTTACCTATTAATTACAGTACTATCCTTACCAACACCTACAAAAAAAATAGGCCGCGTTACGAGTAATAGGATCGCTTACAGGAGATATATATTGGTGCTACTACACGTTGTCTTAAAACAAGGATCAAGGAACATAAATACTCCATTCAAAAAGGTCTTTCCACTACAGCATTGGCTTCTTACTTCATTGATAACGATGTCAGGGTGGACTTTAATAATGTATGATTACTATAATGGTGTGATGACCAGGCCAGCCTAAAATATCTTGAACAGCTGGAGATATTTAAAGCGTTCAAAAGGGGAACAGCCATGAATTTTAAAGAAATGGACTCGCTGATGGCTGCGTGGAGGGTGTATTTTTATGTAAAATAGATCGTCATCAAGTTTATCTTTATAATTTATATAAACATAGAATTTTTAAAATAGGAAGCCAGTTTGAAGACTCATTTCTTAAAGAGATGAGAATTATGATGATCGAGGTAATCCAAGGAAACCTTGATCATCATAATTCTCATTTATAATTTATATATATATATATATATCATTGTGTGAAACTATATGACTGTTAAAAATCAGAATAAGAAGAGACTTTGGATCAGAATTTAAGTGACATTAAAAAAGTCCTACAAGACTTTAATTGTTTTTTAAACAAATAAATAGAATACTGTGGAATTATAGCAATTGTAATAATGGAAATGATCTGCTTCTGACACAATAAAGTGCTATAAATTAAGACACTTGGCAGTTTTTCTCATCTTTATTTAGTTGATACGTGTGAAAAATTTACACATTTCGGGCTCCTAAGCCCCTCTTCAGCCAACTAAAATATTAAAAAAGCATACAACACATATATAGAAAAAATACATAGGTTTTGTACAGTTTATAAAATTATCGTGATCAAAAACATACCTATGCATACAAGTTTTATAAATTAAAGTGACATCAGCTTATTCTTAATACTTTCAGCCAACTAAAACATTAAAAGAGTATACAATACATATATATAAAATTATACACAACTTTTAGATCAAAATAGTTTTATAATTTCTGCAAAACATACCTTGGATATAACTATTACTAAAGTGGTACACAGTTGATTATACTTTCCACTCATAAATCCATTTTGTAAATTCTTACTTCCTTTGATACACATTCACAAATTTACATATTTACATATCTGGCATCTATTGCAATTTTACAATTTTATATGATTGGCAATTTATTTAACATTTTAATATTTAATATTATAAATTATTACATGGACCTCAGTAATAATACAATATCTCAAAGGTGGTAAACACGATTAACAGTTAATATAAATTTACATATTATCTGCCATCTATTACAATTTTAGAGTTGTATACCATTGTTAACTTATTTAATAGTTCAATATTTATTATTATAAATTAGCACATTGATTACAATAATAACACAATTTTGAAGCTGATGAATTAATATAAAATTTTTAAACAATTTTCACTTACAGAAATGCTAGGATTTTTATTTATACTATTTTGATTTTTGATTATTTCTATACTTTCTTTAAATTTTCTTTTATATGTATCTTTTTCTCTGTGTAAAATATCTATATTATTTTTATCTATATTACAATTATTTAAAAGGCAGTGTTCATGAAAGGCAGAATTTGAAATATCGAAGATTAAATTCTGCCTTTCATTATTATAAGGGAGTAAGAAGCCAATGCTGTAGTGGAAAGACCTTTTTGAATGGAGTATTTATGTTCCTTGATCCTTGTTTTAAGACAATGTGAGGTAGCACCAATATATTTGCAAGGATGGTTAGACATCACGTTTCAGCATGGCTGATTAAGAACTAAGGTATTCCGTAAGACCTCATAAGCTCCATTTTTCATCCATGCAAAATCTCATGATTCTTTTGGTTACAAGATCTCAGCTTTTAAGGCCCTAGTAAGGAAGGGTTACACCCATTATTCAAATGCAGAAGATAGGATAATGAAACTGGAATATATTTCAAGTGTAGCTAGGCAGCACGGCTACCCTACACACCTAATTAATGATCTGGTTGCATGTCGGGAACAAGCACTTTTGAGAGACAAGTCCTTTTTACCTATTAATTACAGTACTATCCTTACCAACACCTACAAAAAAAATAGGCCGCGTTACGAGTAATAGGATCGCTTACAGGAGATATATATTGGTGCTACTACACGTTGTCTTAAAACAAGGATCAAGGAACATAAATACTCCATTCAAAAAGGTCTTTCCACTACAGCATTGGCTTCTTACTTCATTGATAACGATGTCAGGGTGGACTTTAATAATGTATGATTACTATAATGGTGTGATGACCAGGCCAGCCTAAAATATCTTGAACAGCTGGAGATATTTAAAGCGTTCAAAAGGGGAACAGCCATGAATTTTAAAGAAATGGACTCGCTGATGGCTGCGTGGAGGGTGTATTTTTATGTAAAATAGATCGTCATCAAGTTTATCTTTATAATTTATATAAACATAGAATTTTTAAAATAGGAAGCCAGTTTGAAGACTCATTTCTTAAAGAGATGAGAATTATGATGATCGAGGTAATCCAAGGAAACCTTGATCATCATAATTCTCATTTATAATTTATATATATATATATATATCATTGTGTGAAACTATATGACTGTTAAAAATCAGAATAAGAAGAGACTTTGGATCAGAATTTAAGTGACATTAAAAAAGTCCTACAAGACTTTAATTGTTTTTTAAACAAATAAATAGAATACTGTGGAATTATAGCAATTGTAATAATGGAAATGATCTGCTTCTGACACAATAAAGTGCTATAAATT